TTTAGTTGTAATTTTGATATCTGAACTTTTTTTTTTTTATCCTCACCCGAGGACATTTTTCCATTTTTTGTTCAGATAGAGCGGGAGGGAGAGAGAGGAAGAGAGAGAGAGAGAAACATCGATGTGAAGGGACACATCAAGTGGCTGCCACCAGCACGACCAACCAGGGCCGGGGACAAACTGCAACCGAGGTATGTGCCCTTAGCGGGAACTGAACCCGGGTCTCTCTGTACCGCAGGCCGACGCTCCAACCACTGAGCCAAACCGGCCAGGGCTGAACTTTTTTTTTTTTTAAGAGGTTCTATTATTTTCTTACTTAGCCCTGGGGGACCATCTAACTTGCATCCTTTTTAGAAATCATTCTTCTGTCTAATCTTTTAGACCTATCTCAAGTCCCTACTCCTGCTTAATTGCACTATTTTATCTCTAAAACTGGATTGTAAAGTACCCAAGGTTAGAGACAATGTCTTATCTTTCTTCTATATCCCACAACAATGCTTAGCACAATTTAGTATACATCATAATTATTCAATACTGTATTTATTTGGTTAATTTCTTGAGATCATTTCAGAGTACTATTTCATTGATTGTTAACAAAAGGGAAAAAACATCCTTAGCCCTATTCTACCTTAGCAATTATAGATTTTATTCCTCATATTATTCATCTTATAAGAAGATAATCACATCTAGCTCCATTTATAATTTTGTGGAAATAGATATACTGTGTCTAATGAAGTAATGTGATTGGGACATCATGGGAATGGTGCAATCTGAGAACCACATCTGTGTCAGCACCCACATCTGTTTTTGTTTCTTGAGATTTCTGTTTTTCAGTGTCATCAAATAGCTGAATGTTAAACTCTAGCATTTTCTTTTTATACTTTTTCTATAGTTCATTTGTATTATTCATGTTCCCACTGTTTGGGTATATACTTAATATTTTATATTTTGGAGGTCTTTTCCTGTTCTTTTGAACCAACGCTTTTCAACCAGTATGCCACAATAATTTTTTTTAAATATGTTTTTTATTGATTATTTTAGAGAGAGAGGAAGGGAGAGAGAGAAACATCGAAGTGAGAGAGACACATTGATCGGCTGCCTCCTACATGCCCACACTGGGGATTGAGCCCAAAACCTGGGCACGTGCCCTGAGTGGGAATCAAACTGGGTAGGACCTCTCAGTCCATGGGACAACGTTCAATCCACTGAGCCATCACAGGAATTTTTAAAACAAGCAATAATACCTGACTATTTAGTCAGGGGCACTGACCTCTTTTCCCTTAGATTGTCAAATAAAAAAATAACAGCCCTGGCCAGGTAGCTTAGTTGGTTAGAACATCATCCCCATATGCCAAGGTTTTAGGTTTGATCCCCAGTCAGGACACATACAAGATTCAACCAATGAATGCATAAATAAGTGGAACAACAAATCGATGTTTTTCTGTCTCTCTCTCTTTTCCTCCCTTTCTTTCTACCTCCCTCCCTTCCTCTCTCCAAAATCAGTCAGTAAATTAAAAATGACAACAGCCAACACAATAGATTTTTAGTAATTAGTTTATGTGTGCCATGAGATGGAAAAGGTTGAAAATCGTTGTTCTGAACCAATATTATGTCCTTTGATTGAAAAGCCCTTTTACATTTCTGAAATTATTAGAAATTACACTTAGAAATTTTTCATAGATACCCAGTTCTAACAATAAAGATTTTTAAAAATAAATAAATAAATAAATAAAAAGATACCCAGTTCTATGACTATCAGTGACTTAATACCATAAGCCATCTTCTTGTTCTGGGTAGAGAAACTGACTCTAGAATGAAAAAAATAAGAAAAATTATTGTCAGTTGCAACATCAAAGCAACAAAAGAGGTGAAAGCCAAACACTGGTCTTCAAATTTTAAGTTCATTTGGCCCTATGGATTATGGCATTCCTTCATAAAAGGTACAGTACTCTGTACTTAAAATTCACTAAATTAGATTATAACTTACCAATTGTAACAAAGGTTTTGGATTTTGCTTAATAGGTATATTAGTCACTTTTTTCTTCAAAATTTCAAGGGCTTAGAATGACAAATAACATTTTTTTTCTTGCTCATATCTATGCAGGTCAGTTGGGATGTCTCTGCTCCAGTCTAAGGGTTGGGTTTAAGTCTGCTCCACGTGTGTCCTTGTACTAGCAGCATCCTGGTCATGTTCTCAGGAGTGTGAGAGTGCAAGTCCACCACCCAAGCACATTTAAAGTCTGTGCTCATATGTCTGCTAAAGTCCCATTAGCTAAAGCAAGTCTAGCCCAGGTTAACATCAGTGTGGAACATCAGTGGAGCAGGATGTGTGTGTGCTCAGTCCACAGCAGGAGGCTGTGCAAAGTTACAGGGCAAAGGATCTGGATATCAAATCCTATTAAAGAGTGAAAACTGAGGGAAATAAATTCAGTCTACCACTATAGGAAGCAAGCCATTAAAACAATCATAAATTTGCTATTATAGGTTCCTTTGGACTGCAAACACGATAACCCTTTTTTTCCCATGGGTAACATCTTATTTGACTACATTATTTTGAAAATTTTCCAATGCTCTGATTTCCTTTCAAGAATGCTCCTTTAATCTAAAGTTATTGTTTAGTACAAATGAATATGAGTAAAAATTATAGTGATACGAGCTGCCTTCCATGCTTTGTTTAAGAACTAGAATTGCTGATTGATTAAAAATTTAAGGGAGGTATTAAAGGGGGTTAAAGTAGAAAACTGCCTAAACAAAAAGCATTCTTGCTAGTAAACTAACTGTTAAGGGATATAAATTAAGCACTTGAAATTGAAGTGGGGGGGGGGGCAGAGAGTTAAGCTAAATTAACTCATAGTATGGAGGTTGGTTTCTGAGATGCAGAAAGGCACCTAAGAAGAGGCATTAAAATATCTATTGTTGCTTAGATGAGTAGGGAGAAGGTTCAGAAGTGCTGTGTTATAATCTTACAATTACCTAGCTATCTATTAAAGTCAGTTTTAATATACTATTTTATCAGTAAGTACAAAAATGAGTTGTTGTTTTTTAAATCCTCACCCGAGGACATTTTTCCATTTTTCGTTCGGATAGAGTGGGAAGGAGAGAGAGAAACATCGACATGAAAGGGACACACCGAGTGGCTGCCCCCCGCGCAGCCCAACTCAGGGCTGTGGATAAACTGCAACCGAGGTATGCCCCCTTAGCGGGAACTGAACCCAGGTCTCTCTGGACCACAGGCTGACACTCTAACCACTGAGCCAAACCGGCCAGGGCGAGTTTTTATATTAGTATGTATTGATAAATCCTGCAATGAAATCACTAGTTCTCTAGAAACCTTGAAGTGACGTGAGGTGTAGCTTGCTCGGTTTGTTAATGTTTACTATTTTCTTTGTTGCCTCATATTTATCCTTAAATAGAAAGAATCTTTTTATTTTGAAAATACCTTTTACAACCTACATTGGTAATATTTCATAGAAGGCACACACAGAATTCATTTTGAACAGGCTGGAATACTATGGAAAGTCAAAGGGAGGTGCTTTATTATGGTGTGTGTTATTGTAGTTGTATCTCCTTTAATGTTATGAACAAGGAAATTAAAGATGTGTTTGCCCTGGCTGTTGTGGCTCAGTTCGTTGAAATGTTATCCATTGAAAGGTAGCAGTTTCAATTCCTGGTTAGGACACGTACCCTGTTTGGGGCGAGAATGGAAGGCAACTGATCAGTGTTTCTCATGTTTCTCTCTCACATTGACCCCCACCCCAAAAAAAATAAGTGAAAAAGAGGAAAGTTTCTCTGATGACAGGAATTTGGCCTTCAGGACTAAAAAAATAAAAATTAAAAATTAAGTATATAAAGGAGATTTGTACTGCAAAGCTATGCAATATTAGGCATAACCTAGTCTACCTTTGTTGTCATGGAATTAAAAGTTTATCATGGAACTAAAAATTTATATTTTATCTCTGGTCTATGTACCTGGCTTTACAAAACAGATGTATTCATGGGAATGTATATGTATAATTTCTGGTTTTATCAAACTTTCTATTTTTAATTATAGATTTGCAAGATTATAGACTCATAGAAATTATAAACATAGTATACAGAGGTCCTGTGTTCCCATCATCTAGCTTCCCTTAATGGTGACTAATTTTTACATCATTGATGGACTTTCTTTGCTCTTTTTAATAAGCCTGTTTGTTTAGATATCTAACTTTATTTAAATATGTTTTTATTGATTTATTTTTTAGAGAGAGAGGAAGGGAGAGAGAGATAGAAACATGTCTCGGGTTCTGTTGGTGTGGCTTAGTGATTGAGTGTCGACCCGTGAACCAAGAGGTTGCTGGTTCAATTCCCAGTCAGCCACAGGCCCGGTTGTGGGCCGGATCCCCAGTGAGGGCCATGCAGGAGGCGGCCAATCGATGTTCTCTCTCATAGATGTTTCTATCTCTCTTGCCCTCTCATTTTCTCTCTCTGTAAAAATCAGTAAAGGAAAAAAATAATAATAATAATAAATAAAAAAAGAAACATCTATCAGCTGCCTCCTGCACGCCTCCTACTGGGAATTGAGTCTGCAACCTGAGCATGTGCCCTGACTGGAAATCAAACCAGGACCCTTTAGTCCATGGGATGATGCTCAATACACTGAGCCACACCAGGTGGGCAGCTATCTAACTTTCTTTAAAGAAAGGACACCCTTATTGTACCTGATTCCCTTTAGCTTTCAGAATTATGAAGTGTCACGTAAGGATCCTTATGTCACTATTGCTTTATCTGTAGTACATTCTTCTTGATTTTCCCCATTTCCAGATTGTATCATTGTTTGGGAAAGGATTATATCTCATCTTCTTTCCTGGTGTATTTTTCAGTAAAAGCCCCATTTTATTCCTTATATTAAAGAAACATATTTAGTTGAATATTCATATTTCTTGTTTTGAGTTTATTTTGGTGGTGTTTGAAAACTTGAGATTTAAGATTTTTAACATCATTTTTTCTTTTTTTCCTTTTAGCCTGAAAATGAAATTTCTTCAGATTGTAATCATGTAAGTATGAATTTTCATAATTCACCATATGTGCTTTATATATATGATGACAAATTTTGGGATGCTTTTCCTGTTATTCTGGGAAATACTATGTTTTTTAAATTCTCTTAATCTTAAAAAGAGGATGATAAACCTTGTTCCAGGGCCGTGGTAAATTTATAAATACTCCTCCACTGTAGAAATCATCAAGTTCTGCCAGATAATATTTCTGTATTTAAGCTTAAATTTTTCTACAGCTACCATATGAAATAATTGTTTCTGTTCTTATCAAGTATACAACTTTGATTTCTGTATGTTAAAGATGTTTCATTTAGTCTTTTTTTTCCCTTTATTGATTTTAGAGAGAGAGGAAGTGAGAGGGAGAGAGATAGAAACATCAATAAGAAAGAACATCGATTGGCCGCCTCCTGCATGCTGAACCACCCAGCCACACCAGACTACTCATGTAGTCTTTATATGGTCATCTGTGACTATAGGTTTCTCAAAGCCTAAAGTATTTACTTTCTGACTATTTGCAGAAAAAGTTTGCTAAACTCTGCTCTGTCCTATGCATAGGACTATTAATAAAAATACCTTTTTTATAAAGCAGTCATCTTAAAATGCATATATGCGTTGGTCCAGCATTTCTACATCTAGGAATTTGTGTAGTTATACTTAAAAATGGATTAAAATGTGTCTATAAAGGAATATTTGTTATGACATTATTTATAAAGCAAAAGGTTTAGGAAAAAACCTCAAAATTTATCAATAGACTCAGTGTGTTAGAGGGGAGGCCCACAAAGAAGCTGATATGTGCCTTAGAACCCTAAGAGCTGGAGAGTAGAAAATACATGAAAGGAAAATAGGGACAAGTAACATACAGAAAACACGAGAATTGATGTCATAACAAGAGAAGATTAGAACACAGACACAGAGGGAAGAACATGTGAAGAATCAAGAAGGTGGCCATATACAAGAGAAGGAGAGAGGCCTCAGAAAAGAATCAGTACCGTCGACACCTTGATCTCAGACTTCTTAGTGTCCTGAATTGTAAGAAAATAAGTTTCTTTGTTTAAGCCTCTCAGTCTGTGGTATTGTGTTAAGACAGCCTAGTATTTTAATACACATGGGTTGGCATAATTTTTCCCATTATAGGTAATGGAACAAATTTTAAAAATTGAATAACTTTCCACCTAGTAGAGAGTTCAGAGATGAATTAATGTCATTAAGCAAGAGCCAAGATAGTTATGAACATTTTTTTTGGCCAGTGAAATTGAAAATGTTTGATGCATTAGACAAATTCCTGGAAAAACAAACTTATTAAAACTAACATAAGTTAAAAATCTGAATAACTCAATGTTTATTTTTAAAATTGAATCTATAAAAATCTTCCCAGTAAAGAAATTTCCAGGACCAGATGGATTTATTGGTTAATTTTTACAAACATTTAAGGAAGATTAACATCAGTTTTTCAGAAAATAAAAACGTGGAAACATTTTTCTTTCATTATGAGGCTAACATAACCTTAATATCTCCTTTTTTTTTTTTTTATCCTCACCCAAGGATATTTTTTCCATTTTTTGTACAGATAGAGTGGGAGGGAGAGAGAGGAAGGGAGAGAGAGTGAGAAACATCGACGTGAAGGGACACATCGAGTGGCTGCCACCTGCACGACCAACCAGGGCTGGGGACAAACTGCAACCGAAGTACGTGCCCTTAGCGGGAACCGAACCCGGGTCTCTCCGGACCGCAGGCCGACGCTCTAACCGCTGAGCCAAACTGGCCAGGGCCTTAATATCTCCTAACAAGGATATATCAAGAAAGGAAACGTAGGCCAATGTCAGTTGTGAACCACAGATGAAAAAATGCTAAGCAAATTATTAGCAAACTGAATCCACTAAAATATAAAAAGGGAAATACATCAAGACTTAAATTGGTTTTACTCCAGAATTGAGGTTAAATTTAATATTTGAAAAGTCAATCACAATGAAGAAGACAAATTATGTTATCTCAGTAGACACATTGAAAAACATTAGATTAGCCTGGCCAGTGTGGCTTACTGGTTGAGCATCAACCTGTACATCAAGAAATTGCCAATTCAATTCCTGGTCAGGACACATGCCCAGGTTGTGGGCCCAGTCCCCAGTGGGGCATGCAGGAGGTGGCCAATCGATGTTCTCTCCCATTGATGTTTCTATCTCTCTCTCCCTTTCCCTTCCTCTCTCTCTAAAAATTAAAAAGGGGAGGGGAAGCATTTTATTAAATTCAATACTAGTTTTTTGAGCTTTTATTATAGGAAATTTTCTAACATGCACAATTAGACTAAAGATTGCAGGACAAGTAAATTTACAAAAATCTATTGTATTTCTGTTGAACAACAATGAATAATTGAAAATGAAATTAAAACAATTTCATTTACAGTAGCATAAAAAATAACCTAATACTTAGGAATAAAATGTAACAAAAGAAGTGTAAAGTCAACCTTATGGTGTCAAGGGTTTTAAAGGAATGAAGATAAGATATACCTGGAAACTAGATTCTGGATAACTCTCCTTCATAAAACTCATATATGAAAATACTGTTGATTATGAAATCTGTGACTAAACCTCAGAATCTGAGCTTTTGGATTAGACTTTTTGGTTTAAGCAGAATTTATCTTATACTACCTATTTATATTTTCTCTGAAAGCTACAGCAAGGATTTTGGTTTTAATTATTTTCTTGACTTTAATCCTTAAGGAAAAAAAAGAAAAAGTATATCTTAATGGTAGTGTTTTATTTTGCCTGTACTTTTTTTCCCTTTTATCTATAAATGCAAGTGACATTTTGTTTCCCTTTTCTGTTCATTAACTGAAATGTGAATATGCTTTATCTGACTCTGTACAATGAACTTTTATCATTTATTTGTGTCATATTTTATCATAAATCATAGTTATCATAATTGGTAGTAAATTTCATACAATTATAACTGAAGTTTGCTTTTTTCTCTTGTACCTAGTTGTTGTGGAATTATAAGCTGAACCTAACTACAGACCCCAAATTTGAATCTGTGGCCCGAGAAGTTTGCAAATCTACCATATCAGAGGTAGGCTATAAAAGAATTTTGTGTGTATTTAATGGCATAGAAGAGAAAATGACATCTCTTTACCAGACCAGTCATTAAGGGAGGAATAACTTGCTTATTCAATTACTGTACTTTTCTTAGAATTCACATCTGTATTGGTTGAGAGGCCAAGGGCAGTATAATTAGACTTTTTTTTTTTTTGGTACGTGCCCCTCACGGGAACCGAACCCAGGACTCTCTGGTCCATAGGAATAAAATGTAACAAAACTGCTGAGCCAAACCGGCCAGGGCTAGACTTCTTTTTGTTAGTGTTCACCTACACTTACAGTAGGATGCTGTTGATTCAGACAAGTTGATAATCAGGCTCTGTTGGTACCCAGAGAATACAGCTGCTTCTGTCATCAGCACTGCTCTCACACTGTTACAGTCTGCTTATGTCTGAGGCATACCAAAATGGTCTCCCCAGGAGGCGTATAAGTATTTCTAAGTATTTTGGCTATGCAGTTGGATCAGTTGAACCACAGAGGCATATGCTTTAAATAATAGGAGTTATAAATGGATGTTGAATATAAAGACAAAAATAATGAAATTATATAGCATTGTATGGATGCTAATTGGGAAATTTTTCAATTCTCTTAGCTTAATGTGGACAACTAATATTAGTGAAAAATGTGATATAGAAGTTTATTTTATTTTTTGTAATCAGTGATAGAAATTCTAGGAAGCCAGAGATTTCTGTATATTGAAGTATAAGAATCACAAAGCAGGCAGTTGCTATTTTTCACCTTAAAGCTAATAATCATAGATCTTGCAACATGTGGATCTGTCCTCAAACCACCCTATTTTATGACTTAAGTTGGGACCATTTTCTCCTGAGCTCTTAAGGAAGACTCTGCTCCAATCATTAAGCTCTCAGCTTATGTTTCTCACTTAAGTCATTATGGGATCTTGTAGAACCTGTTTATTTCTCAAACCTTCTAGTCTTGGATCAGATATGTTTTATTCTTTTTTTTCCCCAATCCTCAGCTGAGGATATTTTTACATTTATCTTCAGACAGAGTGGGGAAGAGAGAGAGAGGGAGAGAGAGAGAGACAGACATCAATGTGAGAGAGAGACATCCACTGGTTGCCACCTGCACAACCCCAACCAGGGCCGGGGACGAACTACAACTGAGGTACATGCCCTTGGCTGGAATTGAACCTGGGACTTCCTGGTCTTCAGGCCAATGCTCTAACCACTGAGAAACCTGGCCAGGGCATGTTTTATTCTTTTATAGCAGCGACCCTTCTTCATATTTACTCTCAGGCTTCAGAATAGAATATCAGATCTTTGAAACATTGATCTTTAGCTTCCAGCTTAAGTATTCTGCTCATCAAACTCCCTTGGGTAGCAACATGACTAGCTATACATACTAGTTTGATTGCCACATGGAAATTTAGCTCAGAGTATATACAGACACATCAGAATAATTTTACTCTTTGCTTGCTTATTTTATATATACATATGGGGTCAAAGGTTTTAAAGGAATGAAGATAGATATGCCTGGAAACTAGACTCTGGAATCTCTCTCTCTCTCACACACACACACACACACACACACACACACACAGACTTCCTTATAATGTATATGTAATGATGGCCTCCTTGTAACTTTTTGGGGTATTTTGATTCTGTGAAAGATTCAGGTGACAAGAGAAATTCTCCCTTCCTAGAGGGAGAGTATATTGGAGTCAGGAAAATTAAGTATCAGAAAAAACATAGTTGCCAACTAAATTTTTTTTTTTTATTGATTTTTAGAGAGAGAAGAAGGGAAAGGGAGAGAGAGAGATAGAAACATTGATGAGAGAGAACATCGATTGGCCACCTCCTGCACGCCCACAACCTGGGAATGTGCCCTGACTGGGAGTCGAACCAGCGACCTTTTGGTGCATGGGTCAATGCTCAACCACTGAACCACACAGGCCGAGCACCAACTAAATATTTTATTCTACATCTCCCTCTTCTTCTTTCTTAATTTGGGAATCCTATTTCCAAGGAGAAAAACAACATCACAAGAATACCTACAAACAGCAAACCAAACTTTTTATATATGCCCCATGTTTGAACCAAATACTGCCTTGCTTTTTTTCTGCCTTCATGTCAAAAATAGAGTGGATCTGCTCCACAGCCACTTCAGAGTTTATTCCCATTCATAAATATGTTGATGATTTAATGTTGTTTTTGCTGTTAATCTTAGACATTTTTTTTCTGTTATCTTAAACTTTTATCTAGTAGAGTGGCTGAAGAAAAGTATAAACTTATCATTCAAACACTATATATCCTATTGTAATTGGTGGTGAACTGAAATATAAATAGGTACTACATCTTGGTGTTTCAGTAAGATCTCAAGTGATTAAAAGTAAATATACATCTACTTGGCCGGTTTTTCTCAGTGGTTAGAGTGTCGGCCTGCGGACCAATGAGGAGCGGGGTTCGATTCTGGTCTAAGGCACATACCTTGGTTGTAGTTCGTCCCTGGAGGCAACAGGTCAACGCGTCTTTCTCACAATAATGTTTCTCTCTCTCTTTCCTTTCCTCTTCCTCCCTCCCACTCTATCTGATGATAAACAGAAAAATAACCTTGGGTGAGGATTAAAAATAAAAGGAAATTTAAATTTCTTACTGGGGCTTCAGTTCAAGTTGTGCTCTTGTTATTTCTTCAGATTTTTAAACTGCTGATTGCCCAGTGTTAGAGCCTATCTGAATACTTCTTCGTTAAAATTTCAAACCCAGATGTCTGCCACTAGTTCTGTTTTTTGTTGTTGTTGTTAAATACATGGTTTTTTTAGTGGTTGACTTACAAATGCTCAGATTTTCAAGGGGCTATTCCTCCTTTCACTTTTTTTTTTTTAATCCTCACCCAAGGACATTTTTGCATTTATCTTCAGATAGAGCGGAAGGGAGAGAAGGAGGGAGAGAGAGAGAGAAACATTGATGTGAGAGAGACATGACTGGTGGCCACCCACATGACCCCAACCAGGGCCGGGGATAAACTACAACTGAGGTACATGCCCTTAGTGGGAACCGAACCCAAGTCTCTCGGGACCATGGGCTGACGCTCTAACTGCTGAGCCAAACTGGCCAGGGCCTTCCTTTTACTTTTGTAACTGAACTCTGTTTTGCTTAAGAAAAAACAAAACAAAACAAAAACCTCTTTTCCTGGGATTAATATTGATGGTCATCTTATTAGGCATCACATAAAAAAAAGAACTCAAGGTTAAGCTGAAAGAACTGCATGCATCTTGACTGTTGAACATCCATGCTGCCTCTTGAAGCCAGTGTGAAACTGTTTACTTAAATTCCAAAGCTTGCTTCTCTAAAATTAAACACAATTTTCTGTCTTGAATTGAGTCTTTGACTTCGTCTGGAGTTAGGCATAAAGAGACCCAGTGGCCTATCGGATAATAAGTGTGTGGTATGTCCTCCACCCAGCACTTTTTGGGAAAGAGATTGTATTTGTTCTGTCAGGTGTACATATTTAAAATAACTGATATAATAGTGGAGAATGGTCTCCACTGGTTTCTAAAAACCAGTAAAACATTCTGCACAGCAAAAGAAACAACCATCAAAACAGAAAAGGATCCCACTATAAGGGAAACCATAATTGCCAATGATGCATCAGATAAGTGGTTAATTTCCAATATATATAGAGTGCTCATACAACTCAAAAAAAGGAAGACAAAGAACCCAATTAAAAAATGGGCAGAGGAGCTAAATAGACACCTCTCCAAACAGGACATACAAAAGGCCAAGAGATATATGAAGAAATGCTCAACGTCACTAATCATCAGAGAGATGCAAATTAAAACTGTGAGGTATCATTTTACACCTGTCAGAATGGCTGCCATCAACAAATCATCAAACAAGTGTTGGTGAGGATGTGGAGAAAAGGGGACTCTAGTACACTACTGGTGAGAATGCAGACTGGTGCAGCCACTGTGGAAAACACTATGGTGTTACCTCTAAAAGTTAAAAATTGAACTGCCATTTGACCCAGTGATCCCACTTCTAGGAATATACCCTAAGAAACCTGAAACACCCATCAGAAAGAATATATGTACCCTATGTTCATAGCAGTACTATTTACAATAGCTAAGATCTGGAAACAACCCAAGTGTCCATCAATAGATGAGTGGATAAAAAAAGCTTTGGTACATATACACAATGGAATACTCTGCAGCTGTAAGGAAGAAAGATCTCTTATCCTATGAGATGGCATGGAAGGATCTGGAGAGTATTGTGCTAAGTGAATCAAGCCAAGCAGAGAAAGATAAATATCACATGATCTCACTTATTTGTGGAATATAGTGAACTAAACAAACTGCTGAACAAAATTAACCCAGAGACATAGAGGTGGGGTACAGACTGACAAGCCTCAGAGGAGGAGGGGTTGGGGAGGGAGAGATAAACCACAGAACTTACATGCATGTATGCATAACCAATGAACATAGACAGCAAAGCTGGGTATGGGGCAGAGGGGAAGGGGAGGTGGATGTCAATGGGAGAAAAATGAGAAACATCTGTAACAAAAACAAATTAATAAATTTTTAAAAATCCAATAAAACAAAAAAAATTCCCTTCAGCCATGGCCAGTTTGGCTCAGCAGTTAAAGCATTGGCCTGCTGACCAGAGAGACCCGAGTTCAGTTCCTGCTAAAGGCACATACCTCAGTTGCAGTTTGTCCCCGCCCCAGTTGGGGTCGTGTGGGTGGCAGCCAGTTGATGTGTCTCTCTCACATCGATGTTTCTCTCTCTCTCTCTCTCCCTCCCTCTCTCCCTCCCGCTTTATCTGAAGATAAATGTAAAAATGTCCTCGGGTGAGGATAAAAAATTTTTTTAAATTCCCTTCTCATTTTTATTCAGAAGAAATATTTACATTTGGTTCCTTCCTCTTCTCAAAACTGCCATTTTTGTTTGCTTTTAATTTCTCTAAATGCAATAGTAGGCTTTTTCCAAACAATCTTCTTTGCTTTATAATAAATTCAAGCTTGTTAACCCTATAAGTAGATTTCACTTTTTTATGCCTGAATTTCAGCTTTTTTTTTTTTGTGGCTAGTTTGCTTCATTAGCACTTGTGGTTTGGTATGCACTTCGCAGGACCACTAACCATGTGGAATCACCGTATGCTTGATCCACTAAATCATGTGTCTAAACCACCCAAATTAAATTTGTAGTGTCCTTCCCCTTCCCAAACTCTTTGCCAGACTGCACTCATCATTATTTTAAACATGATTCTATTCCAGACCACAGTGGTGAAGCTGAGATTTTACTAAGTTCAAAAACACATGTCCATATTTATAGTTAATTCAGAACACATTAATGTCATATCAAGAAATAATATTGTACCTTCCCTCCTTCCTCCCCTTGGCCATTAGGTTTACTTAATGGTAATAGTTTGCTGTGTAGCTTGGCTTGGGACATGCAACCTGACTTCAGTTCTGCACCTGTTCTCCAGACCTATTCTCTAGATTAATCTCCTCACTGTCCACTGCATTCTTTGCAAGCCTAAAGGGATTTCTCAGTAGAATCATTTAGAATGTTAAAAGCTCTTTTTGTATCTCAATAAAGCTGAAATTTTTAACAGCTCTTTTTACTCCATTTGGACATGAGTTCTATCTAGCATTTGTATATGTATGTATTTTTTTTGCAAAATACATTAGTCAGTTATTTCCTAGAGGGCCAACAGTCTGAGTAGGCATGAACCTATCAACAAGAAAATGTCAAACATTCTTTTTTTCATAAAAGCTGTTTGAGGTGAGAATAGAATACTTATGTAAAACAACCGCCTTCTTTTGAGCAGATTAAAGAATGTGCTGATGAACCAGTAGGAAAAGGTTACTTGGTTTCCTGCTTGGTGGATCATCGAGGTAACATCACTGAGTACCAGTGTCACCAATATATCACCAAGATGACGGCCATCATTTTCAGTGATTACCGTCTAATCTGTGGCTTCATGGATGACTGCAAAAATGATATCAACATTCTGAAATGTGGCAGCATTCGGCTTGGAGAAAAGGTATGTACTACATTGACTTCACCAAAGGGGTCTTATGGACTTGATAAATGAAAAGCTTTATATAACTGGCTTGGAAAATATTTAGGGCTGGAGATGGCCTTAAAGTTGAAGTCCAGAAGCCCCAAGATCTAAGGCTAATTGACCTATGAATGCATTTCATCTGGTTGTGACACAATGTTCCAAAAATTTGGAGAAGTAGAGGAATTAATATCTGCTAAGAGTAGTGTGTTATCCAAAATACTAAAATACTTGCTGATTATCTGTAACATCTCTGGAAAGGCATTTGTAGTCTTGTAGGAATGGTAGTTGGGTTAGGAAAGACTTGAGTTCTGAAAACTTTCTCTGCATATACCCTCACTGATGCCATAGAAAAATCACTCAGCACATCAGTACTAAAGAAGATATTTAAATATTAAAAAAATTTTAAGATATGAAAGTACTTCTAGCTTGTCAGAAGAAAGATACTCTACAAATGTGATATATTATCTATATCTCAGAAGAACTCACTTTAGTAAAGACAGGAAAGAAAATAACCGTCTAGCTAGTTTCTTCTTCCTTAATTATATTGGATCTTATTTTTGTCCTTATTAGTCTGTTGTCTGGAAAGTCTCAGTGGAGGTTTGACCAGGTTTATTCTGAATTTGTTCACAGTGGGAGAGGTAGTCCAGAGCCCAGGTATGGCATCAGCTATTAATTGCCACTGTTCATTAATCTGCTGTTTAGGAAATATGAAGAAAAATAAAATCGATTTGTCCCTTTGCCTGTATATATTCATTGCGCCATGCTTTGCAGGCTTTCTCCTGGAAGAAAGGGGGCATGGCATTGTATGCCAGAACTGCACACTACACACTGCACACACCAGTTCAAATGAAGGTTTTAGTGCTGGTTATTGTCTGGCTTTCACCAAGTGCCCTTTCTTTCACACCAGCACAGGGCTCTGGTCCTTTCACAGGGCACTCCTTGAGAGTACTGTGAACTTGGCATACAGCTTTCAGACAGCTAAAGAGGCCAATTTGAATAAAGAAGGCAGATTTGTTTCTTTCCCAGCACTTAAGTCTCCCTGATAATTCAGGAAGCTCCTCTGATTTATTTAGGTTATTGGAGATTATATCCAATTCCAACCCTCGCTGTTTTTGAAATCTTCACCTACGTGTTCCAGACACACTTTTCAGGAATCAGTGATGATACTTTTTTATATTTGTGATTAGTGGTCCATGCTATAGAGTGAACCATGACAATTCATGGTTGTAGTAGTTCTTTGTAGTAGTTCTTCCCTATTGACTGCCAAGATAATCACTAGTTAGCTTCCCATTAGCAATCTGAATTGTCAATATAAAACCTGCTTTCAATGGCATATATGAGTTAAGTCTGCAGTGATTGAAATGACTGCAGAAAATAATAGTGCTAGAGCCAGAAGGCATGACAGTGAGGGTTGTTTTGAGCTTTGTTAAAATAACAAAAGCTGTTTCTGTGGCCCATCAACATGCATATTTTGGTTATTTTTATCTTTTGCAATACCTACCAGTTAGATGAATTTCTGTTTATACGAGTAACCCCAACTCTGGCATCAAAGGCTTTCTTGTATTTTGGGGACAGTTAAGATCCCTCATGCCTGCACTTCTGCATGTTCCTTCCTATATAATTCACTCTGGTGCTATAGCCAAATTTTAAAAAGGAAGCATGCCCTGAGCCCTTCTTTGCCTTTTCTAACTATAGTTTACTTCTGTATTGTCTAGTTATTTAAAAATTAATGAGTCAGCTTCTGACCACAGAAGAGAACAGGCTCATCAATGTAAAATTTGTTGCCACTGAAGCTTGCAAACTCCTCTGTGACTGGCTTGAACTGACCTGCTCCAAAGATCAGAGGAGAACGGGTCATGGTTAGCCTGTTTGTACCCGCCTGTCTGTGAACATATAAATGTCATGATTTCAAAACTGTGATAATTTTTTCGCAAATGTTAATATATATAAAATTTAGAACAAAGACCTATATATTAATAAGATCTTTAGATTTTCTAAATTAATATTGTTAAAATGAAAGTGCAGATCTCCAGAAGTAAAAGTGTAAATGATTTACATAGTCTGAAGAGAAAGTAGGATGTGTCATCCAATACAGGAACTTAATGTGGACATGTGCCATATTATTACTACTATTATACTTTTCACCCAGTAGTTTATCATTTCCTGCTTTTAACCAACTACTTCGAATAATTCAGACATTCTTTTTCTCTTTGTGTAGTAATGTAGATCACAGAAGACACTAAAAACATTGGAATGGAGAATTTATAGCAGAGATGAAAACTGAGTTGTTGCCTACCTTTTTTGTTAATCCTCTCCCAAGGATATGTTTTTATTGATTTGAGGGAGAGGGGGAGAGAGAGAAATATCGATGTGAGAGAGAAACATTGATTGGTTTCCTCCCATACATAACCTGACCAGGGATCAAACCCACAAACTTTTTGTATACAAGACAACACTCCAACCATCTGAGCCACACCAGCCAGGTCTTGCCTACCTTTTTTAGATTAATGTTATCCTTCTCTGTCATTAAAGGTGGGTAGTGGGGACATAGTATATAGGGAAGGAAAAACATTACCTATCAAACTGCTAAAAACTGATTCAGTACACTAGTAGTAGTTTTAAAACAGACATTTTTCTCACCACAATAGAATTTTAGTTAGTTAGTTAGTTAGTTAGTTAGTTAGTTAATCTTCACCTGAGGATATTTTTTCCATTCTTTTTTTATTTGTCACAGAGAGTGAAAGGAGGGAAGGGATGGAGAGAGAGACATCATTTGGTTGCCTCCTGCACATATCCCAGCTGGGCCAGGGATTGAACCTGCAGCCCAGGTACATGCCCTTGACCAGGAATTAAACCCTTGACCCTTCGTTGTGGGGCTGATGCTCTAACCACTGAACCACATTGGCCAGGACTCACCACAATAGAATTTTAAACTCAGTGTAAATCCATTTACTGGATCATCTGTTATTTATATGTCAAGCCTGTGTATTAATAACTTAACTTTTTTTAACCTAAGTAATTATTTTCTTGTAGATAATGTGCAAATGTGTAGTTCACCTCTCTTGCTTTCATTTATATTCAGTAATTAGTCATATAATCTTCTTTGTCAAATATTTGCATACATTATATAACTCAAATGGGCTGAAATAAAAAGCTCAGAGACCCTAGGGAACTGAGAAGAATTCCTGAAATATTTTTATTTGAAAAAATATATCTAAAATAAAGTATGATTAATGAAAACATCCAGTGGAGGTCATGTTATGACCTGATACCAATATGTGGTGCTATAATTGCTATAATTAAAATTAAGTCTCAGATTCCTTAGGGGGTCTCAAACCACAATGATGCCGCCTTAAATCCAATAAGAAGCAAATGGAGCCATTAAAAAATATAACAGCCTTAGTTAATCTTACTGGCAGTACATTTGAAACAGTTATAAACACTAAGTATACAAGGAAATAGTTCAACTCATTACATGGAAATCATTTCTGTACCAGGACTAAACGTTGAATCTAAACAAGTTTGACTATCATGCTGTTATTTTCAGTCTCTCATACGATTAAGACCTAACTGCTAGCAAGCATCTAAGTAAGTTATTATGGGCTACTAAAATTTCGTATAGGACTTTGTTTTATAACATAAAGCCATGTGTATAATAATGTCTTGTATACTGTAAACAATAAGTGACTGGTATGTTTCTGTCCAAATCTGTGTTTGTTGTAGGTTTGTATTTCCTTTGGGAAGTGGAAATGGTTAGGCTTTGTCTAAGTGGGTCATAGACAGACTTGAATGTCACTCATAAATTAGGAAGAAAACATACGCCTTACTCCAGATTTGTGGAGTTTGTGTTCACTTTTCTCTCTGTTGTCATCTTTTTGTCTTGTCCATGAGTTTTATCTGTTCAGAATTACTTTCCAAAAATATTTTTGGTCATTTTAGGTTTGTAAGCATTAGAATCATAAAGCCAGTGAGAAAGGTTAAGACATGAGAATCTGCTAGTATATTGTGCTTCCCAGTCTTTTTTTTTTTTTTTGGTCAGCAAAGCTTTTGAAAATGAAAGCTATGAATTTTCTTTGGAAAAAATATATAAAACCCACATACAAATTTTAGGAGTTTCATAGAACCCCTCCAAAGTCTTAGCTAGGCACCTTACATTCTGCTACTTGGATAAGTTGATAAATGCCTCTAAGCCTCTGTTTGTGTATCTGTTCAAGAGCTACACCGCTGTTATTCCCTCTTCACAGGTATATTAGGAGAGAACATGAAATTTATTGTGGAACTATTTGGAAAATAGTGTGCTATAGAGCAAACTCTATTACAACTAAATAGAAAAGAACTATACTTTTCCTGTTGAATTGAAACTTTACTTAAATTCAATGTTTCCCTATTTGGCTAGGAGTCTTTTATTATGTACAGATGATTTCATAGACATGGTATCTTACTATAACAAGATTTTATGTGTGTGTATGTGTAAATAAATGATAGCACTGTCTTTTCGTCTCCTTTGGCTTGCTGTATTAATGGTTATACCTCTCAGGTTATTGAAGCATAGCTTTTGAGTATAGAAGATTAGAATTCTTGGATAGAAAATATTTAGGAGAAGTTTCTCATATTTTGAATGAATGAATGTTGTGGTTGCTATGGGGATGATGCAGTGTACAATTAAAGGTAATTGGATGGTTTTAGGAAAGCTCTCAAAAGCAGTTTGTATAAACAGTGGTAATCTCTTTAAAATGGCATTAAGATAAATTCAAAACATCAAAGTGAATATTACGCTACAGATTGTATATATTTGGGTCTTTGTGGACAGTATAGAATAGAAAAAAGGAGAAGGAAACTCTCTATAATATCTTTTTTCAATGGATTTTATGTTTTATCTTTTTAACTTGACTAAAAGCACTGTCATTTGAGAAATGATTAACCCTTCAGAGATAAATGAACAGATTTCTGCAATGTTATTTCCATATAGACATCAGCTATGATCAGAACATTGGGCTAACGTAATTCTTTTAAATGTTTCTGACATTTTAAACTTTAAAAACTCAGGTTTCTATGTCTAGTGCTAATTAAACTATACTTAATTTCCCAGGATCTCTATTTCCATTTGTACTATATTCTAATCAAAGATTATTGAGGACATTTTCTGTAACTTCAGTAGTGTTGTTGGTTCCCACCTGGTTTCTCAATAGAACATCAATAAGCTAACTATATATTGAGGATTTGTTTGTTTTTTTTAACCAAATGATGTTTATTTGAAAGTCATTGTGGTGAGAGTTTAAAAATATTAGTACCCTTACTGTTTTAGGGTGCACATTCACAAGGTGAAGTGGTATCATGTTTGGAGAAAGGCCTGGTGAAGGAAGCAGAAGAAAGAGATCCCAAGATTCAAGTCTCTGAACTCTGCAAGAAAGCCATTCTCCGGGTGGCTGAGCTGTCCTCAGATGACTTTCATTTAGACCGGCATTTATATTTTGCTTGCCGAGATGATCGGGAGCGTTTTTGTGAAAATGTGAGTCAGTTCAGAAACTATTCTTCTTTTCTTCTTTTTCTTTTTAAATATTTTTAAATACTCTATTCCAAAAAGAAAAACTAACACAAACTTTATATGTAGAAAAGCTACTAAAAATGGAAGACAGAGTTGGTCTCAGATAACAGAAAATGATACTGTATGCCCAGCTTTGATTTAACATCTAGTTAACATTTGGCTTCTGATGATCTCCACACATTATTTTTTCTACTTTACCTAACTTCTTGATTTCAGTTCTTGGGAGTCTATTTTATCTATAGGAATCCTGTTTTACCAGGGATTCCCATTCACATCTATTACATGGCTAAAACTTTGCTATATTACATATTTATATTTATATTTATATGATTTTGACTAAGATAAAACAAAAAACAAAACCATAAAAACCAGGTAGCTAGTTTTTAATTTATTTTTTTATCCTCACACGAGGACATTGTTTTGCATTTATCTTCAGATAGTAGAGTGGGAGGGAGAGAGGAAGGAAGAGAGAGAGAGAAACATCCACGTGAGAGAGGACATGAGAGACACATCGAGTGGTTGCCATCCACACAACCCCAACTGGGACTGGGGACAAACTGCAACCGAGGTACGTGCCCTTAGTGGGAACTGAACCCAGGTTTCTCCGGTCTGTGGGTCAATGTTCTAACCGCTGAGCCAAACCCGCCAGAGCAGATAGCTAGTTTTTAAAACCATATCCCTGGGTACTCACAGACCCTAGAGCATAACTTTCTAACACTTTAAATAGAAGAATGTCCATGTTTACAATGAAGAACTGAGAATGACTTGTGTACACTCCCATTCTTCCTTCTGTTTTGATTTAACAGCTTTAACAGTCAAAGCCACTAATTATAAGAGTTTCATATTGTAAAAAGGGAGACTCACTGACAGTTCTCTTTTTTTTAGAGAGAGTAGGAGGAAAGGAGGGAGGGAGAGAAAGAGGAACATCACCGAGAGAGAGACACATCGTTTGGTTGCCTCCCACACAACTCCAGCCGGGGCTGGGGATCCAACCTGCAACCCAGGTACGTGCCCTTGACCAGAATTGAATTTGCGACTCTGTGGTCCGTGGGCCAACACTCTAAGTGCTGAGCCAAACTGGCCAGGGCTCACTGATACTTCTCTTGATTTCCTAATTAACAGTATATCTGGGACTAAATGACAATAGTCAGACATTGTGGGAAACAAATTTTTATCTTTATTGTTTCCTTTCAATTTTACAAATGGCTGAGCCATTTGTTCAAAGGTACTCACATTATATTAAATTTTTTTTTAATTATTATTCCTCACCCGAGGATATTTTTCTACTTATTATCAGACAGAGTGGGAGGGAGGGAGGGCCAGAAACATCGATGTGATAGAACCACATCAACTGGTTGCCTCCCACATGACCCAACCAGGGCCAGGGATGAAATGCAACTCAGGCACATGCCCTTAACTGGAATCAAACCTGCGACTCATTGGTCCATGGGCCAAAGCCCTAATCGCTGAGCCAAACCAGCCAGGGCAAACACATTATATTAATTTAACAAAAAGTTCTATATGGGATTATAAGTAATGTCTGGTATAACTACTTAGTAAATCTTCATAATGGGTATGTTTCATGTTATAGACACAAGCCGGTGAAGGCAGAGTATATAAGTGCCTCTTCAACCATAAATTTGAAGAATCCATGAGTGAAAAGGTAAGTATCACTTTGAAACAAACCAATATTTTATTCATTTCTTTAAAGTTTTCCCAAATCATCTCAAATAATATTCTTATACATTGTTACCAAAATAAGTGACTGGTAAAGCTAACCCTTTTCAGAGGCGAGATACATGGCTTTTAGTGGAAAACCAAAGCATGTTTTGCTTAAGCCAAGAAAATGAAGCTTTATTTGTAATATCTGGACATTGGGAAACCAATTGTGAATCAGTTTGGGGAGTAAAATTGGAGAAATTTTTTTAAAAGATATTTTAATTGATTTTTTTAGAAAGAGAGGAAGGGAGAGGGAAAGAGAGAGAGCAAAACACGGATTGGCTGCACACCCCGTACTGGGGATCAAGCCTGAAACCCAGGCACATGCCCTGACCGGGAATCGAACCAGCAACCTTTTGGTGCATGGGATGATGCCCAACCAACTGAGCCACACCAGCCAGGGCAAAATTGGAGAATTTTATATCAGAATCACACTGAAGCCAGTCCTGCATACTCAGGAAGTTTAGGTTAACCAAACGAATATGCATCATAAGTAACTGGTTATTTAATTTCTCAGCAGATGTCTCATTAAGCAGTCTCATTACTGTTAATCCTCTTTTCCTAGATGAATGCAGAAATCTTTTTACTACTTTTAAAAGTAATTATTTTTGTTGTTATTTTATTCTGTCATTTACTTTCCTATATAGCCAAAGAAATGTTTTTCGTTTCAGTTCCTTTACTCTTGAGTAATTATATTTAAAAAGCATAGTGTGGAACTTTCAGAGTATTACGTTAGTTGCCACTTTGGTTCTGGTGAAATTTACTTTAGGAATATTGTTAAATAGGAAAAGAATGCTTTGTCAAGTTCGTGTATTAGAATCTACCAAATACATATGTGTTTAGGATAGCTACTGTTGCAGCAACAATCAGCAATTCACTATAGAATTCTAGGGCTTCCCACCCATTTACCTTTTCCTCTTGCCACACTAATTTAGAATATTTGTGTTCAATTTTAACCAAACCTAAAAGAGGCATTTTGGTAACAACTGCAGTGGTTGTTGACATACATATATTTGGCCATGAGAGATACACGTGAACATCTCAAGCACCTGAACAAGTCTTACAGTTCTTTCACTGTATTCTTTACTCAGTGTCGAGAAGCACTGACGACCCGCCAAAAGCTGATTGCACAAGATTATAAGGTCAGTTATTCATTGGCCAAGTCCTGTAAGAGTGACTTAAAAAAATACCGGTGCAATGTGGAAAACCTTCCCCGGTCCCGAGAAGCCAGACTGTCCTACCTTCTGATGTGTCTGGAGTCAGCTGTGCATAGAGGTGAGAGTTTATTTCTTTTTATCCTTTTTATTCCTTTTTGGATTTACATTCTAAAGTTTCTGTACCATTACTCTTTGCCTGTATGTGTTCTTTTGAGTACAGCTATGCCTTGTTACTTAAGAGCCTTTCTTTGTAAGCATCACTCTAGGAACTGAGGGGTTGTTATCTCTGCCATTGAAGGCCCTTTCTCTTAGCTCAGTAATCCCCAATTTTGTTTTGTTTTGTTTATATCCTGGCTTACTTTTTTTTTTTTTTTTTTTTTTTACAAGGTAAAGTATATTTCTCAAATCCAAATATTTTAATTTTTAAAAATACCTACAGGTTGGGGCAAAAGTAGGTTTATAGTTGTTTGTATGGAAAATAATACAAGTTACTAAATAAGCCTGGCCGGTGTAGCACAGTTGGTTGGAGCACCATCCTGTACATCAAAAGATTGCCAGTTCAATTCCCAGTCAGGGCACATACCCAGGTTGCAGGTTTGATGCCCTGTTGGAGCGTGTATGGGAGGTAGCCAGTTGAAGTTTCTCTCTCACATTGATATTTCTCTCTCTCTCTCTCTCTCTCTCTCTCTCAAATCAATTAATATATCCTTGGGTAGATTTTTTAAAAATAATAACATCAATGAATAAATAATACAAGAGTAAACTCTATGTTTCATGTACTCACAACTGCAAACCTACCTTTGCCTCACCCTGTATCGTACCACAGTTTTAGGGGAGTCAGGGTAGTATACTCATTTAGCACATGAGCTTTGGGTCAGAGAGACATGACTTCAATTTATGGCTCTGTCACCAAACTAACTGGATGAGTGTTCATTGTTTCCATTTTTTAATCTCTCCAAACCTCATTTTTCTTATCTATAAAAAAATAATATTACCTATGTTGCGGAGTTCATATGAGGACTCGATGAGGCTATTTGGCATAGCACTTAGCATACAATAAGTGATAGGTAATGTTATTATAACAGTGATGATGTTAAGAAAGTAAACAGTAAACGATGAAAGGATTACATCCGTAGAGTGACTCATGGTCTGTGTAGTCCAAATGTCAACCCCTGACAAAGGAACCAAGAAGGATTTATAGAAGGCCAGGGTTATCTTTCTTAATATTGGCTGTAGGCTGCAAAAAATGAAATTTCTACCTCTTACTGAAATGGTGCTGGGACAGGTGGTTATTAATTAAAAAGTTAAGTGGAAAAAATCAATCATTAAAACTCAGAACTATTTGGTGAAATTTTTTTCATATCTGGATGTTTGAAAGCAATGGAATAGCAACTAGAGACAATGCATGGTCTTGGACTGAATACCAAACAAAAGACGTTTCGGAGACAACTGGGAAATATTGGTTAAGGTCTGGGTATTAGGTGAAATTTTCCTAAAATGGAAAGGTGGAGATTATTGACTAGTAAAGGCATATTATAAGACAGTATGCATAATGTAATCTAATTTTGGTATTTAAAAAATAGATAGTTAATGTCCTTAAACTGAAAATTGACACGTAACACAAAAACGACTCAGTAAGTAAGTAAGTGGCCAGAGGATATGAACAGATAATTCAGAGAAGTTACAAAGATTGCTAAAAAAAAAAAAAAAAAAGACTAATCATGTTAAGTGTTGACAGGGATGTGGAGAAACTGAAACTATTGTACATTGCTGATGGTAATTGCTAGTGGTTACAACTACTTTGGAAAACAGTTTACCAGTTTCTTTAAAAGTTAAACATACATCTTCCATATGCCCAGCCATGTAACTTCTAGGTATTTGCCCAAGACATATGAAAGTGTATGTCCATGTAAACTCTTGTACATGAATACTAATAATAGCTCTATATGTAATAGACCAAAACTGGAAATAACCCAAATGTCCATCAACAGTAGAAGTGATAAACAAATTATAGCATATCTACATCATGAAATAATATTACTTAGCAATAAAAAGGAAGGAACTGTCAATACATGGATGAATCTTAAAATAGTTATGCTGAGTGAAAGGTCAGACAAAAAAGAGTCCATATTATATGATTTCATTTATATAAACTTCTAAAAAATGCAAGCTAGTAAACTAGTCATAGAAAGCAGATCAGTGGTTGACTGGGGATGTGGGTGGAGAGGAAAGGAAGGGAGGGATTAAAGAAGCATAGGGAAACTTTTGGAGTTGATGGGTATGTTCAGCATCTTGATTCAGTGTATATGTATGTCAAACTTATCCCGTTGTGTGCTTTAAAAATGTAGTTTAGTACATGTCAATTATACCTCAGTAAAGCTGTGTTTTAAAACATGTCTTGCCCTGACCGGTTTGGCTCAGCGGTTGGAGCGTCGGCCTGCGGTACAGAGAGACCCGGGTTCGGTTTCCGCTAAGGGCACGTACCTTGGCTGCAGTTTGTCCCCGGCCCTGGTTGGTCATGCGGGTGGCAGCCACTCGATGTGTCCCTTCACATCGATGTTTCTCTCTCTCTCTCATTTCCTCTCTCTCCCTCCCGCTCTATCTGAACAAAAAATGGAAAAAAATGTCCTCGGGCGAGGATGAAAAAAAACAAAAAAAAACATGTCTTAAGTTTTCCCAGTTGACATTTACAGCTGAAGGAAGAAGGAAAGCTATAGTGAATATTGGAAGTGTAGTCTTTTCCACAAGCTTTAACTGTGTAGGCCAGTAGAGATTGTTCTTGGCTTTTGTTTTTACCCACATAGTTACCTTGTTGATAAGACTTTCATTGGTAAAACATTTGCATTACGACTTCCGGTCAAGATGGCAGGTAGGTAAACGCGGTATTGTGTCCTCCCACAACCACATCAAAGTTACAACTAAACTACAGAACAACCATCATTCAAAACCACCTGAAATCAAGCGGAATGGAAGTCCTACAACTACAGAATTAAATAAGCAGCCACATCCAGACTGGCAGGAGGGGCGGAGGTGGATGGGCTGGTCCCACACCCACATGTGGCAGATAAAAATTAGGAGGACACCTCGGCTGGGAAGGTCCTCCCTGAGGACTGAGGAGTCCCCATCCCACACCAGGCACTTCGCTCAGGGTTCCAGTGCCAGAAAGAGAAGTCCCCATAACTTCTGGCTGTAAAACCAGCGGGAATTGAGGTCAGGGAGGCTGAGGCAGCTGGAGCCCCAGGCAGCTCCTCTTAAAGGGCCCGCGCACGGACTTATCGGACACACTCCCTCTAAGCTTGGAGGGGGGGCAGCTTAAGGGGTGTGAGAGACCTAAGGGAAGAACTGAGCTGTTTGGCATTGGAGCGAGGGCTGGAGAGGGCAATTTCTCCGGGACAAATGTGCTGTCAGAGGCCCTTGTTCCTGTGGGGGACCCTTCCCTGGGGCAGCAGACAGCTGCCATATCAGGGACTCCAGCAACCTGGCTCATACTGGTTGCCCTGCCCTGGTGATTCCCTGAGGCCCCGCCACACTCAGCTTTCAGGTCCACCCAAGCTGTTGCCAGTTGCTTAACCATAGGATTGGCCTGTCTTGGATCCTGCTTCAGGTTTTCCTAAATTCTTTCAAACAAGCAGCATCTGGTCTCAGATAGCCCCATACCTCTCATTAAGTAATACACAGAAACAAACAGAGGGAGGCAGCCAAAATGAGGAGACACAGAAACAGGTCCCAAATGAAAGAACAGAACAAAACCCCAGGAAAAGAACTAAGCGAAATGGAGATAAGCAACCTAACAGATGCTGAGTTCAAAATACTGCTCATAAGGATGCTCAGTGAACTTAGTGAGAACCTCAGCAAACTTAGTGAGGGCCTCAAGAGCATAAAAAGGAGCAGTCAGAAATGAAAGATGCATAGTCAAAAATGAAGGAGGCACTAACTAAAATAAAGAATAATTGACACAGATTCAATAGTAGAGTAGGTAAAGCCAAGAAGCAAACCATCGATTTGGAATATAAGGAAGCAAAAATCACCCAATCAGAACAGCAAAAAGAAAAAAGAGTTTTAAAAAATGAGGATAGTGTAAGGAGCCTCTGGGACAACTTCAAGTGTGCCAACATTCGCATCTTGGGGGTGCCAGAAAGAGAAAAGAGAGAACAAGAAATCAAAAACCTATTTGAAACAATAATGGCAGAAAACTTACTAACTTGGTGAAGGAAACAGACATACAAGTCCAGGAAGCACAGAGAGTCCCAAACAAGATGAACCCCAAGAGGCCCACACCAAGACACATCATCATCAAAATGCAAAAGGTTCAAGACAAAGAGAGAATCTTAAAAACAGCCAGAGAAAAGCAGTTAGTTACCTACAAGGGAGTTCCCTTAAGACAGCTGATTTCTCAAAAGAAACTTTGCAGGCCAGGAGGGAGTGGCAAGAAATATTCAGAGTGATGAAAAGAATATACAACCAAGATTACTCTGTCCTGCAAAGCTGTCATTTAGAATCGATGGCCATATAAAGACTTTCCCAGACAAGAAAAAGTTAAAGGAGTTCATCACCACCAAACCGTTATTATATGAAATGTTGAAGGGTCTTTTCGAAGAAAAAGATAAAATATATGAACAAACAAAATGGCAATGAATACATATCTATTGACAATTGGATCTAGAAACAAAATGAACAGGCAGACAGAAACATTCTCATAGATACAGAGAATATTTTGTTGGTTGCCAGATGGGAGGGGGGTTGGGGGAATGGGTGAAAAAGGTGAAGGGATTAAGAAGTACAAATTGGTTGCTAGACTGACAAACCTCAAAGGGAAGGGGTTTGGGGTGGGGTGAGAAGAAATAAACCAAAGAACTTATATGCATATATGCATAACCAATGGACACAGACAACAGTGTGGGAAAAGGCAGGAGGGGGCCAGGAGGGGGGAGGAGGGGGTCAATGGGGGAAAAATGAGGAACATCTGTAATACATTTAACAATAAAGATAAAAAAAACATTTGCATTACTAGTGTCGTAGTATAAAATCTGTATAATGCAAAACACTAACAAGATAAACCCTAGTCTCTGGAGTCTTAAACTAATTTTATGCTGATAAAGCTTTTGCTGAATTCTAAGCTTTTCGGTCTAGATAATAACATGAGTAGTTAATTATATTGTAGAGGAAAATATGTACTCATATGTGGTAATATTCGATCCTAATGCTCACTATAATTTTATGGCTTAAATCCTAATTTAGGACGACAAGTGAGCAGTGAGTGCCAGGGGGAGATGTTAGATTACCGACGCATGTTGATGGAAGACTTTTCTTTGAGCCCTGAGATCATCCTGAGCTGTCGCGGAGAGATTGAACACCACTGTTCTGGATTACATCGTAAAGGACGAACCCTACATTGTCTGATGAAAGTAGTTCGAGGGGAGAAAGGGAACCTTGGAATGAACTGCCAGCAGGCGGTAAGGAAATGTTTTTACTGCCATTGTGAATGTCACATTTTAGCAGCTGAGAAGCTTCTTTCTGATAGTGTCCCAACTTTATCTGGATTGTTTGTGATATCACAGTCAATATTAGGTACTAAGAAGCAGATATGGAACCGAATACCGTTTCTCCAGACATATCATAGTAAGAATGGATTTTTCTGCAGGGCAGAAGTTTAAGCTCAAAATAAATAAAAAGAGCTATCTACTTAAAGAAATACGTAAAATGCATTGTTTGCTAGAACTTTTTAAAGTTTAACTTACTGGATTGAATTTACTAAACTCAAAATCAAAGCAAACCAAGTTCTAGTACATCATCAGAGTCCTCGGGGAAACTTAAAACACACACACACACACACACACACACACACAATTCATTAGTCTTTTATTTTGTTGGTGTTTTTATTAAAAATTTAATATTACTTGAATTTTCTTTTTCTGCTAATTAGTAAAATCACAGTTTACAGTCTGAAACAAGATTCCATAAAATTTTTTTTATCCTCACCCGAGGACATATTTCCATTTTTTTGTTCAGATAGAGTGGGAGGGAGGGAGCGAGGGGGGGGAGAGAGAGAGAGAGAGAGAGAAACATCGACGTGAAAGGGATACATTGAGTGGCTGCCACCTGCACGACCCAACCAGGGCCGGCAACAAACTGCAACTGAGATACATGCCCTTAGCAGAAACCAAACCCGGGTCTCTTGGGACTGCAGACTGACGCTCTAACTGCTGAGCCAAACTGGCCAGGGCAAGATTCCATAGAATTTTGATGTGGAGTAAAATTTCACCTTACCTTCTGTTACCCTGACCCACAGTAGACTATAATTTATACATCACATGATGGGGAAAATGGACAAATGTTGCCTCTTTTCCAAAATAACAAGCCTAGCTAGACAGAAAGCTTCTAGATGTAGTTCCTCAGGAGCAGCCCTTGCTGGTGATTGTCCTAGGAAAGCTCTGTGACAGTGTATGTGCCTGGGTCCCAGACCAAGAACTAATCAAGACATCCTATATATGCATTTCATTCCTTAATGAAGCATGGAAAGGGGAGGGGGTGGTTAGGAATAAACATATATTTTTTTTCTTTATTGATTTTAGAGACACAGGAAGAGAGAGGGAGAGATAGAAACATCAGTGAGAGAGAACATAGATTGGCCGCTTCCTGCATGCCCCCCACTGGGGATTGGGCCCAAAACCTGGGCATGTGCCCTGACAGGGAATCGAACCAGCAACCTCTTAGTGCATGGTTCGACACTCAGCCACTGAGCCACACCAGCTGGGCAAGAATAAACCTATATATTTTTTTTATTGAGGCTACACTTGTACCAAGGTGTACAGAAAAAAGAAAATACATTGGCTTGACTTTATTTTGAAGCCATCTGGATAACCTCCGGGGCTGGCTTGTTAAAAGAGCTAGTGATGCCCTGGCCCGTCTGGTTCAGTGGTTCGAGCATTGGCCCACAGACCAATGAGTCCCGGGTTCGATTCCAGTCAAGGGCACCTGCCTCAGTTGTGGATTGTCCTGGCCCTGGTTGGGGTTGTGTGGGAGGCAATCAGTTGATGTGTGTCTCTCCCGTCATTGTTTCTCTCTCCCTCTCTCCCTCTCTCCCTTTCTCCCTCCCTTCCTCCCACTCTATCTGAGCAAAAATGGAAAAAATATCCTCAGGTGAGAATTAAAATTTAAATTAAAAAAAAAAAAAGCTAGTGACTCGCCCTCACTGGTTTGCTCAGTGGTTAGAGCATCAGCCCTTGGACTAAAGGGTCTCAGGTTCGATTCCTGGTCAAGGGAATATACCTGGGCTGCAGGTTGGATCCCTGGCCCCAGAGTGGGTCATATGGGAGGCAGCCAATCAATGTGTCTCTCTCACATCAGTGTTTCTCTCTCTCTCTCTCCCTTCCTTCCTTTCTTCCTCCTTTCCACTCTAAAATCAGTGGGAAAATGTCCTCAGGTGAGGATTAACAAAAGAAAAAGAGCTAATGACTCAACAACTCGAAAGATAAATAAGTACCAAGTACCTCATCCTATCCTTTGTGCCCAGAATAAATATGAATTATGTGGTTTTGCCTACATTAAGTTTAGCCAAGTGGGAAACAAACACTTTGGTGGGTTTTTTTTATGAACTCATGGTTTTTAGGAATTGAAAAAAAGAAATTTTTTTTAGTCTTTTATATTATCTATCCTCAATCAAATGGAGGAATGTTTTGAAATGATTTATTTTGAGTGGGTTTCTTTTTCAGTTTTCTTCTCTGATACATTAGACATTCATACCTGTCTGTGGTTGACCATTAATTTTCCCTATTTGCTTGGCTGTGCTTTTATTTAGTGATTTTTTAACAAATAGTAAACTGTGAAGCATAAAAGCAGGTAGCTTCTTAATGAGTACATACTTTTCCAGTTGCACCCTAATCATGAACTTAGTAAATTATCTTCAGTTGTGGCTGAACAACTTGGCCCAGTCTCTCCCAGATCAAAGGTGACTGTCCAGTCTATTCTCTACACTTCCCAGAAGCATTTCCCTAGGTTTTTCCTAAGCAAGCAGGTGCTGGAGCAGATGTATAATCATATAGCAATTTACATTCTTAGTGTTATTTCCCACACTGTTGTCACTGGATTCCAGAGTGGCAATAATCCCTTGAGTCCGTAGCCTACTAGAGTCTGTAATGCATTCATTGCCTCCTTTTAGTAGTTGCAATCTGGTGCATTCATTGTGAATTCTCCAAGTTTCTGTGTCAGTCATCAGTCATGGGTATTTAACTAATACAGTTCTTGCAGAAACTTTCAGACTCCCGTGATGCTTATAATCTCCCTCAGAAAAAGATAAATATTTTGGTCTTTGTCAACAAATCATTACTAAAATCGATAATCCTTTGACAGTAATCTTTCTACCAACTAACCACTCACAGCATTTTGTAGCTTTTCCAAATTGCCAGTAAGAATTGGTATAAACAACTTTCATCCCAGAATACTGGAAATCTTTCATATTTCTCTCATCTTGATTCTTGACTTCTTTTAGAATAGAAAGAATGGAGTTTTTTCTTTCTTCATTTCCTTTTGATTTGTGTTCTGGTTAATATGTGTCGGGGTCAATACTTTCATATGTGCCCCTTTGGGATCGCAGGTCAAATGCATGAGGATCAGAGAAGGATTTACAGAGAGATAAAGGCTACATCGGTGGCACAAAAAGGGCTCCAGGTTTTCAACTTGGAAAAAAAGGAACCCAAACCAGGATTATAGTTTTCAGATTTGCTCTGTTATTTAAGATTCCCACCCCAAAACACCATCTGCTACCCATCTGTAGTAATAATGATCTTTTATATCTGTCAAATGCTTACCGCTTATACAACCTTTTATGTATTCTTATAATCCTTATGGTTAAAGAGACTGGAACTTAGAGGTTAATCAACTTGCCCATGTTCTCAAAGCTAATAACTGGCAGAGCCAGAACTATTAATAGAACTCGGATCGGTCTTGTGATCCTTGATTTAGAAGTGTTTCCTCTGTGCCCCAAGTGCTTTCTCCTCAAAGACAGGGAAGAATAATCCAAGGCACATCTCATACTTTCACTTTATTTCATGATAAAGCATGAATCAAGCTGAAGTAAATTGCAAAAACTGTATTCTCATTTTCAATTGCATAGTGACAAATATTTTTCTGTATACTTATAAAGAGTGATCTCTGGTTTACCTCTTGGTTGTGAGAGCTGTCCTAGCTGGTTTGGCTCAATGGTTAGAGCATCAGCCCTCGGACCATAGGGTTCAAGGTTTGATTCCTGATCAAGGGCACATACCTAGGTTGCAGGTTTGATCCCTGGCCCTAGTCTGGGTTACTCGGGAGGCAGCTGGTTGACATGTCTCTCTCTTACATCGATGTTTCTCTCCCTCCCTCCCTTCCACTCTATTTAAATCAATGGAAAATATCATTGGGTGAGGATAACAACAACAGAAAAAGATAGTTGAGGGAAAATAAGAAATTATAAATGTTGTATTATTTTATTTTATTTTTTTGTTAATCCTCACCCAAGGATATTTTTTCCATTGATATTTAGAGAGAGTGGACGCGGGGGAGAGAAAGAGAAACATCAGTGAGAGAGAGAAACATCAGTGGAAGAGAGACACATCAGTTGATTACCTCCACATTTGCCCTGGTCAGGGCTGGGGATCAAACCTGTAACCCAAGCCCTGGCCAGTTTGGCTCAGCAGTTAGAGTCATGGCCTGTGGTCCCGAGAGACCCGGGTTCGGTTCCTGCTAAGGGCATGTACCTCAGTTGCGGTTTGTCCCCAGCCCTGGTTGGTCGTCCCTTTCACGTCGATGTTTCTCTCTCTCTCTCTCTCTCTCGCTTCCACTCTGTCTGAACAGTAAAATGGAAAAATGTCCTCAGGTGAGAATAAAATAAAATAAAATAAAATAAAATAAAAAACCTGTAACCCAGGTATGTAACCCAGGAATCAAACCTACAGCCCTTTGATGCGCGAGCCAGTGCTCTAACCACTGAACCATACTGGCCAGGGCTGTGTTATTTTGTTTTTGTTTTTTTTATCCTCATCTGAGGACATTTTTGTATTTATCTTCAGATGGAGCAGGAGGGAGAGAGGGGGAAAGAGAGAGAGAGAAACATTGATGTGAGAGAGACAAATCAACTGGCTGCCACCCACACAACACCTACCAAGGCCAGGAAAAACTGCAACCGAGGTACCTTCCCTTAGCGGGAACCAAACCCAGGTCTCTCTGGTCCACAGCCCGACGCTCTAACTGCTGGGCCAAATTGGCCAGGGCTGTTCTTACTTTTTGTAATTGATATTTCTTGCAAGCTAAATGAAATCGCACATCTATCTTTAATAAAGCAGAATACGCTTGTTGTAATGCCAGTGTCTTGGCAGCAAAACTTAAATTCTAGATTTTTAAGACCCCAAATTAGGTCTCTAACTGGAAGTGTCTTCTATTTACTCTTCTCCGCTCAATTCTTGTTTGGCACTGAGTGTCAGATTTAGTAATCTGATTAATATATAGGCAGATATGAAGGGGGAAGCAGCCTTTTATTGTAAAGACCTTTTTTTTTCAAATGTCCAGGTTTGATTCAGACTGGTATGCAAGTAGACAAGTAATCTCTACATGACTTGAACGGAAAACTCTTGATCAAAGTATAGAAATCAATTGGAAAGTATTTGGCAAGAGTTCTTGAACTTGGCCAGTGACACTTACAGTACCTTGTGATATACCAGACTTAGTAACTGATTGTATGAAGAGATGACACGGCTCTTCCTTGATATATAAATGACCTTCTTGCTTTCTTCCTTCCTTTTTTTTTTTTAAATCCAGCTTCAAACACTGATTCAGGAGACTGACCCTGGTGCAGATTACCGCATTGACAGAGCTTTGAATGAAGCTTGTGAATCTGTAATACAGACTGCCTGCAAACACATAAGATCGGGAGACCCAATGTAGGTTATCTTGTTTGTGGTATTTATCCATATTATATTTTATTTGGCAGTGTAGCACAGGGAACATTCCCTCAACATCATAACTGGAATTTTGTTAAACAGTAACACATACCATCTTTTGTTAAAACTAGTATAGGAATTGAGACTTCACCTCTGCTTCATCTATGATGTGGAGACACCTAGACCTAACATTGTAATGGTGTTTGTTGACAGTGACTGAGCATAGGTGAGCCTATATATTAGGTCACTGGATAATTCCAATTAGTGGTCAAATAAAAATGAGAGACAGACTCTCACGATAAAGTGACACATGCATTGACTCTATACTTTTATCCTGTTTGTATATTGACTCATATATATTGGCTACTTTATAATTATCAGAGAGTAATTAATTTTCATTGAAATATAAAACAAAATGTGGTGGTTGGAAGAGGGAATCATGGACAAATTGAACTCTGAAGTTGTATCCAAGATCTAGGAAAGCTATAAAATTCTATAATGAAGTATTTGAATTGCATGCATTCGTTTTATTCCATATGATATGCAAAGAGCTCTTAAAACCAGGTTGCAAGTAAGAACAGGTTTCTCATTCTGAATAAATCTTTATAGCCCACAGCTGGCAGTACCCAACAATAAGATGTATGTAGTCCGTGTTTGTCATCATTCTGCTGTGCATGCATTCCTGCTGCTCATGCTGTGATAGGGAATTTAAAAAAGGTGTTCTTCCATAAAGCTGTCCGTGTGGTTGGAGGAGGTAGACAAACACACTTAAGACTAATTAAGCATATTTAACTGCATTAACTATAAAGGAGGCAAGGGAGAGGGAGGAAGAAGCTAACTGCTACAGATTAAAATAAATTTAAGATACTATCAATTAAATGCAATGCTTGGACCTTTTCTGGGTCCTGGTTTGAGCAAACATGTACAAGGGCATGAAAAAATTAGAAAGTTTTGAAAGCTAACAGGATATTACATGATATTATCGATTTTTAAAAATGTATTCCTTTTGGTAGATATTACATTCTCATATTAAATGAGAAGCATGCTAAAGTACTTAGGATGGAATGATATGGTATCTGAGATTTGCTTTATCAGAAAGGGGGACAGAGTTAAAACAGCCTGAGCCATAGGTAGATAAAGCTATGGGAAGGAAAGGTAGATGGTATATGATTCTCCACTTTTGTGTGTGCTGGAAAATGTTTACATAAACAGTTAATAAAGCACCTGCACACGGCTCTTGTCCAAGTTGAGTCCTAAGTGCTAAGAGGCTCTGAAGCTAATAGAAGGCTTAATCACTGTCAGGGGATAAGTGCCTGATTGCCCTAAGAAAATCGCACAATGGCTTTTTCTACAGACCAGGGAAATACTGATACAAGAGTTCTGTACAAGTAGTCAGATCTCTTCTATCTCTTGTTATAATTTTACCCATTTTATGCCCAGGATCCTCTCATGCCTAATGGAACATTTATACACAGAGAAAATGGTAGAAGACTGTGAACACCGTCTGTTAGAGCTACAGTATTTCATCTCCCGAGATTGGAAGTGAGTATTTTCAATCCAGAGTAAGTGTAAGCCTCAGCCTGTTCTCCTGTGTAGTCAGTATCCCTTGTATGTGTGTGTGTTTTATTTTTAATAATCAGTAGGAATTTATTTTTGTTAATTTCTGGGATAGTTAATTTTAATACCCTGAAAAAACGCTTTCTTAACTTTCTTTTTTTTTTATCCTCACCTGAGGATATTTTTCCATTTTTGTACAGATAGAGTGGGAGGGAGAGAGAGGAAGGGAGAGAGAGAGAGAAACATCGACGTGAAGGGACACATCGAGTGGCTGCCACCCGCACGACCACCAGGGCCGGGGACAAACTGCAACCGAAGTACGTGCCCTTAGCGGGAACCGAACCCGGGTCTCTCCGGACCGCAGGCTGACGCTCTAACCGCTGAGCCAAACTGGCCAGGGCACGCTTTCTTAACTTTCATAACAGTATCTAAAAGCAGAGGCAGCCCCTGTAGATCTGTCCCCAAGTGTCCCCATTCACTGCTACTTTGGAAATCAGGAGCAAATTTTCGTGATACCACCACGATCTATCTGGAAAGAACTTGGGCACCTTTGGGGCAGCAGAAGCATCTTCAGATATGTCTCTAAGTAGATAGTAGTGCATTTTTATTTTTATTGATTTGCACCGGGTATGGGAATTTGCTTTTATTTCTTTAACTATTTAAAGATATTGAGTTTATTCTATCTTAAGAGGCTCTTATCAATAAGTAACAACTTGATTCTCTTCTCATCCTGTTAGCCAAAAAGGAGAAGATGAGAAGGATCTATTACCATCAGAATCACTATAATTTATTGGCTGCAAATCCCTCCTCTTTCCAGGTCTTATTTTCTCATCCCACTTCCAAAGCAGCCAGTAGGATCAAGCTGCTCCTGTTGCTTCCCGAGTTCAGCTCCTTCCTGATTCGGTGGTTTAAGCCATTGTACTTTGGTCATTAACTTTTTCTGGTGATTAATATATGTTTTACCCACATACTTTTTACAAGAAAGATTACTTGAAGATTTGATGTGTTTCTGTTTCCTGAAATTTGCTCTGGAAAAGACTAGAAATCTGGGTGCTTACTTGGGCCATCTAAACCGAAATAACAGTTTACCGAGTTTACTACCTTAACAAAATCATGTTTTTTCCTCTTCTGCTATCCCTTCCATCATGATCAAAAGGTGCTTCAGGCCCTGGCCAGTTTTGCTCAGCGGTTAGAGCGTCAGCCTGCGGACCAGAGAGTTCTGGGTTCGGTTCCCTCTAGGGGCACATACCAAATAAGTAAATAAATGAATGAATGGATAAATAAATAAATAAATAAATAAATAAATAAATAAATAAATAAATAGGGTGCTTCAACCCTGGCCAGTGTGGTTCAGTGGTTGGAGCATTGGTCATGGACCAAAGGGTCTTGGATTTGATTCCCAGTCAAGGGCATGTACCTGGATTGCAGGTTCAATCCCTGGCCCCAGTCAGGGTCATGAGGGAGGCAACCAATCAGTGTCTCTCTCTCACATCGATGTTTCTCACTCTCTCTCCCCTTCTCCCCTTTCTCTCTACACCTCCCTTTCTTCCTCCCTTCTACTCTCTCTCTAAAAACCAGTGGAAAAAATATCTTTGGATGAGGGTTTTTTTTTAAAGGGTGCTTCATAGTCTTAAAAGCTACTCATTAAATATTGCTAGCTTTTCTCCTCCCATTATTAAGTAGCCCTTCCCCAAAATTGATTTCATGATGTGGACAGAATTAAGCATCCATTGGTCTAATTTGTAGAAGCAGCAGGCTCACTGCCTAATCCACTCTCTCCAGAGACAGAGTTAAATGTCAGGTTTTTAAAATAGATAAGTATATTCAGGTAAACTAAAATTATAATGGCCTCACCTTGCGTGGGACAAAGAGGAATAGTTTTACTAGAAAGGAAGTTGAGTGAGAAATTTTGTTTATCTTGCTATTTCCTGATCTTACTGAATCTAGTATATCAGGTAGGATTGAACTTCATTTGTACTTAGAAAAATGTATTGAGTAAAAAGTTACGAATTGCCCGCTGATAGATATAACCCTTATTTTCTCATTTCAGTGAGGTCATATTAGTGCTGAGTCTGTTATTGAAAAGTGTGTGCCTTACATAGCCAAGATAACTTCTTTGAGGTAGAACTTAAATCTTCTGTACTAATGTTAACAAACGTCTGCAGGTTGACCTCTGTGTGTTCATGAAGAATAAATTCAAAATTTGCTTAGCTGCTGTCTGCACTACCCTAGAAATGATTATTATATATGTGTGTGTGTGTGTACACACACACACACACACACACACACACACATATATTTTTTAATCCTCATCTGAGGATATGTTTTTATTAATTTTAGAGAAGAAGGGAGAGAGAGAAACATTGATCGGTTGCCTTTGGTACCCACCCTGAGCAGGGATTGAACTCACAACCTAGGTATGTGCCCTGACCAGGAATCTATTAATGAGTACACAAGCTCATTGTAAAAACCCTTAGCATGCATTAGAGAAAGGGTATAGTAAGAGTGATTACCTTTTAACTCTTAACTTTATAGGCTGGACCCTGTCTTATACCGCAAGTGCCAGGGAGATGCATCTCGTCTTTGCCACACCCATGGCTGGAATGAAACCAGTGAACTTATGCCTCCTGGAGCTGTGTTCTCTTGCTTGTACAGACATGCCTACCGCACTGAGGAACAGGGCAGGAGGGTATGCATCACTGTTAACTTCATTTCTTCTTATCATCATTTGTTTTTTAATTAGTTTGTTGTGTATTGTTCTGATTCCTGCCACCCTAGCAAATCTTTGTTAGTACATCTGGTGGGGAGGGGTTGCTGCACTGCTAGAAACTTCTTCATTCAGTGAGTGTACGTAGAGTTCTACCAGCTTCTTTCCACCTGATTTTCTCTTTTTAACAAAATGAGTTAGGACATTTCCAGTTTTTTCTTTAAATTACTGAAATCTAAATCACAAATAGACAATTAACTTCTGCTGTCCTAACTTTATTTAGCTTTAAAGATCCATTAGAAGCTCTTAGCCAAGATACAAATGGTTTTTAGTCTTCTGCTTTTGGCATCAGAACAAATAACGCTTGTATTAATAGGCCTCTCTCATAGCACGCCAGTTGGAGCAAAAACCTCCATACCCCAGTCTCTTGGTATTTGTCTGCCCTGATTGCCACCTCTTGTTGGGATATTTGTGTGTGCTTGGCTCTCAGGCATCGCTTACTGCCGTCTGGTGCCACACCGACATGCTGCTTGTTCTCCCGGGGGCCTTTTGAAGCCTTATGAGGTGCTCTGTTGCGTTCAGTCTTACATTTGTTACAGAAAATAGAGATGGTATTATTCCACATGCATGTTTACAAATACCCCTCTGAGCTTAATGCAAAAGTCTAAGTTTAGTATTCAGAATGAGGAGACCCAGATAGAAAGAAATGTTATACTTCAGACTTAACCCAGTTTTTATACTACTATGTAAGAAAATATTGTAATTTATAGTACTTTTTTCTTCAAAAGATGAGCCTGTCATTAATCACAGGAGTTGGCATCTTGGTAGTCAGTATAGTAGGAGGTTCCTTGTCTTACAGGTAAAGGGTTGGAAGCTGTCCTTTTTAAAAAAATATATTTCTTTAAAAAATGAGGTGAAATTCATATAACATAAAATGAACCATTTTAAAAAGGAAGATTTGGTGGTATTTAGTATATTGATAAAGTTGTGCAACTACCACATCTGTCTACTTCCAAAACATTTCCGTGTCTCCAAAAAGAAACCCCATGCCCATTAAGCAGTTATTCTCCATCTCGCTCTCCTCACACCCCAGGTGCATGGGCCCTTTTAGGAAGAGAGGCTGTCTTTACCTGTAAATGACAGCTTTCTCATAGCCTTTGCAAAAATATTAGTTTTCAAGTGTTTGACCCTCTGCTAATTACCTGTTACTCACCTAGAAGAACCTGGTCCTGACCTGTGGTAACTTTGTTGCTTCTACTGTTACCTATTCTTAGTTTAGGTAAATTTGAACTCAGTTCTCCTGACACATGTGTTTTTTCTCCTGAACTGGACCAAGCATTCTACCCTACATTCTTGGAGTAATAGCAAATTAATTTTGCTAAACAAAAACTCTCTAACCTAATCTGAACAAATTCAATTTACTTTTTATCAGTGTACCTGAAAAAAGGATGTTGTTTCAAATAATATATTAGAATAGGCCAAGTATATAATCTCATTCCAAGAGAGGTGGGCTTTTAGAAACCTCTTAGAACATTTAATTCTTATTCTGGAAGAGATTCAAGGTATAAAGTTGTTTGTTAGTTTTCTGACATTATCAAATGTCTTTTGGTTTGGGTTTTGGTACCTTTAGAGTACTTTGCTTATTTTCATGTAGCTCTCACGGGAGTGTCGAGCCGAAGTCCAAAGGATCCTACATCAGCGTGCCATGGATGTTAAGCTGGATCCTGCGCTCCAGGATAAGTGCCTAATTGATCTGGGCAAATGGTGCAGTGAAAAAACAGAGACTGGACAGGTGGGTGACATAGCTACCTATTTATCTTATAGTCATAATAATACTAATGATCTCCATGATTAACATTTTGTGTGGTATACAAACCCCTAGAAAATCCATTTCTGTTTACTTCATAGACATAAAGATTTGTTATGTTATTTTATTTATTTATTTATTTTTATCCTCACCCAAGGACACTTTTCCATTTTTGTTCAGATAGAGTGGGAGGGAGAGAGAGAGAGAGAGACATCAATGTGAAAGGGACACATCGAGTGACTGCCACCCACATGACCAACCAGGGCCTGGGACAAACTGCAACTGAGGTACGTGCCCATAGCGGGAACTGAACCCAGGTCTCTCTGGACCGCAGGCTGATGCTCTAACCGCTGAGCAAAACCGGCCAGGGCTTGTTATATTATCTGATGATCTTTCTATAAGAAATCCTCAGGAAATTTTTGTTTTCTATAGTCAGGGATAATTGTACTTTTCCTAAGCAGTTAGTTTGTTTTTATATTATTTTGTAATTGATTGTTTTTCTTCTTTGTGTTGCCTCTTAAAAAGCCTAGAGTCGCCATGCACCAAGAGGTCGCTGGTTCAATTCCTTGTCCAGGCACATGCCCAGCTTGTGGGCCAAATCTCCAGTGGGGGGCATGCCGGAGGCAGCCAATCGATGTTTTCTCTCATTGATGTTTCTAGTTCTCTCTCACTCTCCCTTCCTCTCTCTCTAAAACCAATAAAGAATAAAAAAATTTTTTTTAATGCCTACAGTCAAAGAAAGGTATGGCCTGCCTCTGGCAAGTATGTAAGATTTTATGGTCAGTGTTTATGTACTAACCTACTACTTGCTCCATCTCACTTTCCTTAACATAATTCCCTTTCCTTTCCTCTTTTTCTTTTATTCATTTTTAATTAATTTTATCTTGCCTTTTTTAAAAATATTTTTGATTGATTTTGAGAGAGGAAGAGAGAAGGAGAAAGAGATAGAAACATGGATATGAGAGAGAACCATCGATCAGTTGCCTCCTGCACACCCCCTACTAGGGATAAAGCTCACAACCCAGGTATGTGCCCTGACCGGGAATCGAATTGGTGACCTCTTGGTGCATGGGTCAACGCTCAACCACTGAGCCACACCAGCTGGGCTTTCTTGCCTTTTTTTTCCTCTTCTCACTTTTATAAGCCACATTAAGCCCTTTTGAGGGAAGCAGAGTATACATAAATATGTACACACACACACACATATATATATAGTAAATACTTGTATGCATGAATAGTATGTGTGCCCTACATCAGTCCTACAGGATATGTAGGAATGGACTTTTTCCATCTAGTAATTGATGAAATTGAGGCTCTGAGAAGTGAGGTGTATTGACTTCCTTACCTAAAACTCAGGTCTAGTCCTAGCCAGGCATTTGTTCCATTATATCATGACCACCTTCCATACAGGAAAGTATAGAGAAGGAGCAGCCCCCAAGAATTATATGCATGCTATGAATGATTCCTTAGGGTTTTGTGCCTAGTTTAAAAGGGGGAGGGCAGTATGTTACTACATTTTGTCCAATTAAGAGGGAAAGTAGCTTGTTTTCTACCCTAATGCAGGGAAACCAAGCAGTGAGGAGTAGCTACTTGTTTAAAGCCCCATTGATACTGGAATAAGACGTGAACCCAGGTTTCTAAGTTCCATTTGTACCACTCCGAAACACTCTATGGGATTAAACTATTAAAAAGTCACATGGCCCTGGCCGGTCTGGCTCAGCGGTTAGAGAATCATCCTGTGGACAGAGGGACCCAGGTTCAGTTCCTGCTAAGGGCACGTACCTTGGTTGCAGTTTGTCCCGGCCTCGGTTGGGGTCGTGTGGGTGGCAACCAGTCGATGTGTCTCTCTCACATCGATGTTTCTCTCTCTCTTTTCACCCCTCTCTCCCTCCTGCTCTATCTGAAGATAAATGCAAAAAATGTCCTCAGGTGAGGATTTTTTAAAAAGTCACATGTACAGGAATTGGACTTTTGTTTTTAATCCTTACCCGAGTATATTTTTTCATTTATTTTCAGACAGAGTAAGAGGGAGAGATAGAGAGAGAGAAAGAAACATCAGTGTGAGAGAGACACACTGATTGGCTTCTTCCAGCACAGCCCCGACCAGGGAGGGTTAGGGACCAAACCTCAAACAAGGTACATGCCCTTAACCAGAACTGAACCCGCAGCTCATTGGTCTGCAGGCTGACTCTCCAGCCGCTGAGCCAAACTGGCCAGGGCGGAAATTGGACATTTTTAAGGAGCAATGGCTGCTTACATAGATCTGTTGAGCCTGAGAATATCATTTTTAGCGGTCTGCTTCCTGGGCCTACCGCAGCTCTGTCACATTTATTGTTAGAAAATGCCTGTTGGTTTGCTCCTTCCTTCCTTCCTTCCTTCCTTCCTTCCTTCCTTCCTTCCTTCCTTCCTTCCTTCCTTCCTATTTATTTATTTTTATTTAATCCTTACCTGAGGATATTTTTTCCATTTATCTTTAGATAGAATGGAAGTGGGGAAGAGAAACATCGATGTGAGAGAGACATGTCTATTGGTTGCCTCCCACATGACCCTGACTAAGGCTGAGGACGAACCAAAACCGAGGTACATACCGTTGGCTGGAATAAAACCCATGACTCTTGGATCCACGGACTGACACTCTAACTGCTGAGCCAAATTGGCCAGGGCTGGTTTGCTTTCTTCTGCCTCGGTCTAATGAAACAAGGGATATGGTCATACAGAATCCCAGGAAATAGTTTCCTATCATGTCCTCGGTACAGTCACATTGAGAAAGCTGCATTATGTAGAATGGGTGAAGCTAAATTTAGGACAGGATTCCATGAATGGGATTTTTTCATTTGCCCTTTATTTTACTCGCAAAAGTATTATGCATTTTCCTTTAGGGTTGTATAATTTCTATAACCCTTTCTCTCCCTTCCCATTCAAATTTCAAAACAGAGAGATTCTTACAGAATAGTTAGTAAGTTAAACTTGGTTCTTTAACAGAGCCCTTTGCTGAGAAATAGTTGTTGGTGTGCTTCAGGAAAATGAGCTAATGTTATACTTATAAACCTCTATAAATTTTTAAGAGAAATAGCAATAGACTGATGCTACAAGGTAGCTCCAGCTCAGTTTCCAATGCCCAGACAAGATAGCTTTTGGATACCCACACCCTAGTGTGCTTACTTGTTTTGCAGTTTTCCTCAGAGGATCCTTTTATGTGGGCTGGGGTTAGAACCCCAGATTTGACTTGCAGGAACCTTCAGCTTCATACTGTGTTTAAGATCCTGGCCGGTTTGGTTCAGCATTGGCTTGCAGACTGAAGGGTCAAGGGTTTGATTCCCAGTCAAGGGCACATACCTGGATTGCAGGTTCAGTCTCCATCCCCAGTCAGGGTCATAAGGGAGGCAGCCAATTGATGTTTCTCTCTCACATCGATGTCTCTCTCTCTCCCCTTCCCTCCGTCTTTCTAAAAAAAATCAATGAAAAAATATCCTCAGATGAGGATTAACAACAACAACAAAAAGATCCTGGGTCTCAACGTGCTTTGCCCATAAAGAGTCTTAAAGTATCTATCCCATGTCTTGTACTGTGAATTTGTTGTCTAATAATCATTATCAAAATACAGAAAAAAAAGGGAATGGCAGGGTATTGATGGAATGGAATAAAGCCTTGATACAGGATTTTTGGACTCTGAGAACACCTGAACATTGATTCTTGTTGGACTTTTCGATTTGGCCTTCTGGAGGATTTGAATGGCTGTAATGCCCCCTTAATCATCTTAACCACCCTGTTACATCAAGTAATTATCTTTCCAACAATCCCAGTTTGGGAAATAAATAAAACTTCAGTGTTCTGTTTAGTGAAGGAGTTTCAAAAAGAATAGAAAAGGAGGACCACTGAAAAAGAAGTAGACACTGATATCTCAGTTTCCCTTGATCATTTATGTAATTGACAAACCCCAAGGGATTGCCTTTTTGTTTGCAGGAACTTGAGTGCCTCCAGGATCATCTTGATGACTTGGCTGCAGAATGCAGAGAAATAGTCGGCAACCTCACCGAGTTAGAATCTGAGGTAAGCAGTTTGCAACTCAAAGGAGAGTGCCTTGTCAGCAGCCTCTCCTTTCTTGATCCTACTGTTTCTAGACTCTTGAGAGTACAGATGCTCTGGAAAACAAAAGAAACCTTATCATATTCTCCATTTGCTTTATAAAGAAGAATATTGTTATGTTTCCTGAACCCCTTCTTTATTTCTCCAGAAAAACACTCTATACATTGAGCCCTTTGGTTTACTTCATCAGTTAGATTTATCACAGTGATTAGACCAATCTTTTTTTCCCCTTTAAGAAAAGATAGCAGCTCTATTTTAAATCTCTTTAATCACATTCAAGAAGAGTCTAAGCATTCTTGTTATCTTTAGCTCTTTCAATTAGGTCATTTGGTAATGTTTGTGTGTTTAATAAAATAAAAGCCTAGGACTTACAGTTAAACATGGAAGATTGAATACATGTATTTATCCCCGTTCCATCCTGAAACCCATTAAAATATAAAAAATTAAAAACCTCATAAGCATAGGTATATTATTTTTAAAACATTTTTTTCTTTATTAATTTGAGAGAGAGAGGAAGGGAGGGGGAGAGAGAGATAGAAACATCAGTGAAAGAGAACATCGATTGGCCACCTCCTGCATGCCCCCCACTGGGGATCAGGCCCACAACCTGGGCATGTGCCCTGACCAGGAATCGAACCGGCAACCTCTTGGTGCATGGGTCAACACTCAACCACTGAGCCACACCAGCCGGGCCATAGGCATATTATTTATAATACAAAGAGTATTACTAGGAAGTGGGCAGCTAAAAATGTTTAAATTGTCTTGTGGGGAAGAAATCAGGGAAACAGGAAATTGCTCTTTTTTTTTTTTAATCAAAAACCTTTTAGAACTATTTGAATAATTTTTCTTTATTGATTTTTTTTGGGAGAGAGGAAGGGGGTGGGAGAGAGACATCGATGAGAGAGAACATCGATTGGCCCCTTCCTGCACACCTCACACTGGGGATTGGGCTACAACCTGGGCATGTGCCCTGTTGGGGAATCAAACCAGTGACCTCTTGGTGCACGGGTCGATGCTCAACCACTGAGCCACACCACCTAGGCACCTTTTAGAAATTTTTTGTTTGTTTGTTTTTTTATCCTCACCTGAGGACATTTTTCCATTTTTTTTTTTTTTGGTTCAGATAGACTGGGAGGGAGAGAGAGAGAGACAGAGAGAGAAACATCGACGTGAAAGGGACACATCAAGTGGCTGCCACCCGCATGACCAACCAGGGCCGGGGACAGTTTGCAACCAAGGTACATGCCCTTAGCGAGAACCAAACCTGGGTCTCCCTGGACCGCAGGCCGATGCTCTAACCGCTGAGCCAAACCGGCCAGGGCATAGAACTATTTGAATTGTCAAAATTGGCAATACATAAAATTACATTTCTCAACTAGTTTTTTTGCTATTTTTCAAAAGTTTATTGCCTTTGTGTTATATTCTGTCATCTCTCCCATTCACATTGTCTTTGTGGGCTTATGAGGACATTCTGGGGTGTGTAACTCTTTATTTTTTATTTTTTTAAATCCTCACCTGAGGACAAATTTCTCTTTATCTTCAGATAGAGTGGGAGAGGGAGAGAAAGAGAGAGAAACATCAACGTGAGAGGGACACATCAACTGGTTTTCTCCCGCACAACCCCAACCATGGCTGGGGACGAACTGCAACCAAGGTTTGTGCCCATGACTGGAATTGAACCTGTGACTCTGGTCCACGGGCTGACGCTCTAACTGTTGAGCCAAACCAGCCAGGGCCGGTGTGTAACTCTTTAAATAAATATGTTATTTCAACAGCTAGTACTATACAGGGCTTACTCTCTGCTTAAAGGCATTTAGTGTGTGTTCCCGAGGCAGTGGTTTATCATTTGGTTTGAGGACAGTAATCTGGTTTAGATGCTCATAAACTAAAGATAGATGTCAGTTACCCGTTTTTATTTTGAACTACTTAGCTTTTTAGAAAAACTCGAAAGGCTTTATATACTCTAATATTACTATTAAATGTTTTTTCTCCTCTCTTCCTCTTATTTTTTTAAATCCTCACCTGAGGACATGCTTATTGGTTTTAGAGAGAGGAGAAGGTAGGGGGAAAGAGAGAGAGAGAAACATCAGTCAGTTGCCTCCCGTATGCACCCTGACTGATGATCAACCCCCCTACCTGGGTATGTGTCCTCACCAGGAATTGAACCTGCAATCTTTTGGTGTACAGGATAACACCCCAACCAACTGAGCCACACTGGTCAGGGCTCTCCTCTCTTCCTTTTTTTAAAAAATATGTTTTTATTGACTTTTAGAGAGGAAGGGAGAGAGAGAGAGAGAGACATTGATGTGAGAGTGAAACATTGATCAGTTGCCTCCTATACGCAACCTGACCAAGATCGAACCCACAACCTGGGTATGTGCCCTGGCTGAGAATCGAACCTGTGGTTAGGATGATGCTCAACCAACTGAGCCACACTGTCAGGGCTACTCTCTTCTTAATTCTGCATTTGCTTCTAGAAAACTTGCCTTTCAAAGTATAATGGAGGTGTAGTTCTATCTATGCTGGTGGAGCTATCTAACTTAAAAACTAGAATAGTCTCCAAATGTACATAATAGATAGGTTATTTGCCCATCAGATGCTACTAATTCAGGAAAAGAAACTGCTCTTTTCTCCACCCCTGGTTCTTTCTAAGACAGAATTAATATATTTATTCTTCTACAGGACATTCAAATAGAAGCCTTGCTGATGAGAGCCTGTGAGCCCATAATTCAGAACTTTTGCCACGTAAGTGATGTCCGGAGAAACAAGGGTTAGAAACAGAACTGAATTTACTAGAACTCTGGCCCCCAAGTGTGCTGCATTATCTCTGTCTTCAAGCATGCATTACCCCTAAGTAGCCAACTTTGAGAAGTTAAAGATATAAACAAAATCGAGAGGAGATGCCACCATCCCAGGAAACCTTATTTGATTATCCTTTGTAGGTGTCCAGATATATGCTTAGCAGTTGCTGAGAAGCCTTTGTAGGAAAAGAGGGAATGGGGAAGCTCCATGAGCATGGCTGAGCTGCTGCCTATGCATCTGCATGGGATTTGTTAGCAGTGACAGTGGCTCCCCCTTCCAGCTTTTTTCTTGTACTTGGGTATCTAGCAGATTCTGTTACTTTATTACATTATTCACTTATTGAAAATTATTGGAGCAAAGCACACCCAGGAAACATGAGGATTGGACCACCAGGAAGCAAAGGGGTAAAAGCACTGCATAGTACATGGTCTTGTGGGAGCTTCCCATAGGGCAGCTTGCTATGTAAATTTTATTCCCCATATGTTTATCCCTTGTAATTTCTCAGGTTTCTTTTGACATAATTCAATGCATATCTTGTTGGTGAAGACTAGAATCAGTCTTGTTTGCATTTTTCACGGACTGGGGTACAAGATTTGTGTATTGTTATAAATGAAGTGTAAATGTACACTGCCTTTTCCAGGATGTAGCAGATAACCAGATAGACTCTGGGGACCTGATGGAGTGTCTGATACAAAACAAACACCAGAAGGACATGAATGAGAAGTGCGCCATTGGAGTCACCCATTTCCAGCTGGTCAGTAACACCTGGCAGAGCCTTCTTGTCTTGACTGCTCAGATGGTTACTGCATCTCTTCCTTAGAACATCAGAGCACCTCTTGTGAAAAATTGTGGGATTTTTATTGTTTTGTTTGGTTTTTAAATGTTTTATTGATTTTTTAGAGAGAGAGGAAGCAGGGAGAGAGAGATAGAAACATTGATGAGAGAGAAACATCACTCATCTGCCTCCTGCATGCCCCCTACAGGGGATTGAGCCCGAAACCTGGGCGTGTACCCTATCCAGGAATTGAACCCAGACTTTTCAGACTATGGGACAATGCTCAATCCACTGAGCCACACTGGCCGGGCAATGAAAAATTGTTTTGATTTGTTTTCAATAATTGTAGTTTTTATTTGCTATGACCAGACACTTTGTTAGGCTCCTCGAAATTTAGTCATAAGTACATAGTTCATACCCTTAGGGAGCATATAGTCCACTGGGGATAGAGACAAGTAAAAGGTGTTTCCTGCTTCAGTGACATTGCTTGCTTTTATAAGGTATTTTAGCCTTTCCTTTCACTGTATCAGTGAGATCTGCTGTTTTGGGTCACTGTTCATTGCAACAGCCCAAATATATATCAATACACTGGACTCTAAGCCTTTTTTTTTTTTTCTAATTTTACTACCCGGGTCTGGCATAATAAGAAAGTTAAATCGTACTCTACATTGTTACCACATGTCTAAAGAAAGTGTTACTGGTAAAGCAAGCATTTCCTTGCCAGGGGGACAAAATCCAGGCATATGTGTAAAATTGCCCTCTTCTGGGGCATATGGCCTTTAACACATGGATTAAGGACCTCCAGAATATGGACACCAGGAGACACGGTGGAACAAACAAACCGTACCCTGTCTACTGTTCTAGTAACAGAATGGCACAAAACACATTTACAAGTAAATATAGTCTGGGGTGAGCCTATGAAGAAAAATAAAGCAGCGTAGGGATGGAGGGTGAAAGAGACAAGGGACTTCAGAAGGAGGTACTTGAATAGAAACGCCAAGGAAGTGACAGAGAAAACCATGGGAAGGTCTGGGAGAAGGGTCCTTGTGGCTGAGGGAACGACGGGTGTGAGTGGACTGGCAGGGAACTGCTGTGTGCATAGCAGAGGGAGGAATGGGGGGGTTAGCAAGTCATGCAGAGCCTGGAGAGCTGGCTTCTGCAAACTAACTGAACACAATGTCACCCCTGCACTGCTGCTTAGAACTTGCCACAGAGCTTCTGGTTTTCTTTTTTTATTGTTGTTTTTAGGTGCAGATGAAGGATTTTCGGTTTTCTTACAAGTTTAAAATGGCCTGCAAAGAGGACGTGCTGAAACTTTGCCCCAACATAAAGAAGAAGTATGTAGTTTTTAATAGATTCATCCTGCTTCTCTAAAATCCCTCTTAGCTGCTGAGAGTGAATGTCCAAGATGTCAGGTGACGGCCTGCTGTCTGGCAGCCCAGTTGGCCCTCCTGCACACTCATTTGGAAGTGTGGCGAAATACTGCATTGTCTGGACATCATTTTTATAACTGCTGAGAACCACAGCCGGAGATGGTAGTTCTGATGCGGGAAGTCTACAGGCTAAAGGAGCATGTTTAATTTCGCCAGTTCAGGCTATATAACTGGTGGAGCAGATACAGGTTGTATACTTAGAGGAACAAGTTGCAGTGTGACTACAAGACATTAGCTGACTTCCTCCTGATGTAATTCCATTACATCATCTCTTCATGGAAGGAGCAGAGGCTTTTACTGAGTTAGAGATCTAGTGAAGAAATAAAAACTTTATTAATTTAAGAATCACATCTTCAGAAGGAGAGTGATGAGCTTGTACAGCACGGCTGCCCAAATTCTTCCATGTCACTCTTTGAAACGCACGCTTATAGAACATATTTCTTACATAAACCAAGTTCCCATTTTGCTCAGGTTTCTGTACTTTTCAGAAATGAGTTTCACAGTACATCAAAGTCACAGTCCAGAGTTAAGAGCAGCATTCTTCTCTGGTCACATGTTTTAACAAAACAAGTGTTGAACTGTCCTTGCCTCTCTGGCCTCCCTACCAGTCAGGAATATAGTCAGCTTTTGGGCTGTGGTTCGACTTTTATAACGTATATAGTCAAGTTGCTGCTTTAGAGCTCTGAAAACACAGTGAGCCCTACAGGAAAGGCAAACATGGGACAGAGGCTCGTGAGTTCTGGGAGGCGGTGTTGCCCCTGGTTCAGCCCAGCTCTCAGCCGTCTGCCCTTGCGTGGCTTCAGCCAGTCTCAGGCCTTCTCCTTTCCTTGGCAGGGTGGACGTGGTGATCTGTCTGAGCACCACCGTGCGCAATGACACTCTACAGGAAGCCAAAGAACACAGGGTGTCCCTGAAGTGCCGCAAGCAACTGCGGGTGGAGGAGCTGGAGATGGTAATGCCTAATACCATGGCCTCCAGTCCCAGAAACCTCGGGAGCAGGGGAAAGAGGGTTGGGTGAGGGGTGAGGGCTAATTGAAAGATTTTAGCCACTATTGTGATGGCTAAAACTTGGATCAACATGCTAAACATATGACAGCTTCTTGTTTTACTGTTTTTTGAATAAAAATTTTTTATTGCGCTTAACTGGAAGTCCAAAGTAGATAAGCTGTAAGCATGCAGTACGATCATTGCATCAGTAATGTCCTCAAGGATCAAAGGACTCTCCCTTTCACTCTGTTATCCTTGCACCAGCTTCATCATAAGGCCAGTTTCCCTCATGATGGCTGCCTGCAACACCTGGACCACCTGCTCCAAAGTTCATCCCCAGTAGGAAAAGAAAAGGAAGAAAAACCTCCCCCAGCATGAAAGATCCTTCCCTTCAATTTGATTGTGTCAGTTTGAAGTCTGTGCCCACTCCCTGGCTAACAGCAGTCTCCAGGGCGACGCCATGCACTGGTCACGGAGGTGAAGTAGAAGTCAACCACAGTGTGCACTATAAGAGAAAAATTCTCTTGCACAAAGGAAGCCCAAGGCCATGTAGCTAGCTAGTGGCAGAAATGAAACTAAATCTTCGTTCTCCTGCCACTTGGCTGTGTAGAAGTTGTGATTACCAGATCCAGTCAACAAATAAGTTTATAGAACATTTGACATCTCCAGCTCAGAGTAACTTCCCTTTACCATGCTGCTTCCCTCTCATGCAGACAGAGGACATTCGTCTGGAACCAGATCTGTATGAAGCTTGCAAGAGTGACATCAAGAACTACTGTTCCACAGTGCAATATGGCAATGCCCAGGTAATGTTTTCGTTATTTTTTAACTGCAAAAGTAATGTGAAGGCGACATTTTAATAACTAATTCTTCTCTGGTGGGATAGACCCCATCACATGCTATCCAGCCTAATCATCCCCTCATGAGCTACGCCAGACTTTCCCCAAAGTTTCTCTTTGTCTCCTATTCTCTCTCCTCTTTCAGTTTACTTTGTCTGCCTAATAACCTCTTAATGATCCTTCATATGCCTCCTCCTCTCTATAGCTTTTCCAACACTTTGCACCTGCATAATTAATTATTCCCTCACTATGTTACCATTGTACAATTCTTAACTAAAGGTCACACAAGAATCACCTAGGAAACTTTTAAAAAATATACATGCAACAGAGACCTACCCAGAATAGTCAGAAATGAAGTACAAGCAAATTATTATTATTGTTTTAATGTTCTCCCAGTGACTCAGCTGCCTCTTCTAGTTCAGGGCATTGCCATGGATCTTTCCTTTGAGATAATAGTTTCATTGTCTTCTTCTGTTGCTGTTAATCCTCACCCAAGGATATTTTTCCATTGGTTTTCAAATAGAGTGGAAGGGAGGGAGGGAGGGAGGGGGAGGGAGGGAGGGAGAGAGATTGATTGATTTCCTCCTGCAGGGGCCAGAGCATTCATTGTCTTCTTGTATCTAGTATTGATGCAAAGTCTGAGGTCAATTTGATCCTCATTTCTATGTAGGTAACCTATCTCTGAGTTTTCACTTTATCTTTAATAATCTGTCATTTCACTGTGATGTGATTAGGGGTGGTATTTTTATTTCTTCATTCTGGTTGGCTCTTTCAGTCTCAGAATTCATGTTATTCTGCAGTTGATTCTTTTTTTTTTTTTTGGTACGTGGTATGGGCCCCTAGCAGGAACCGAACCTAGAACTCTGGTCCACAGGCTGACGCTCCAACCGCTGAGCCAAACTGTCCAGAGCTGCAATTGATTCTTTTAATAACCTGTTCTTGCTTGTTATTTACCACTTTCTTCTGTATTGTTCTGAGGATATTAAATAATATGTTTTTATTGCTTTGTTACCTTTTCCCTCAGTTATTTGATGATTCTTGGTTATATCTGAGGATCTCACAGAAGTCTTATGACTTATGCTACAGCCCTAGCTACTGCAGCTTTCCATCTGCTTCCCTTCCTTATTGTTTGCAGATGATCAGAGGGGAGGGGAGACTTCAGGGTATACTTCATTCACTATCATAAAACCCTCCTGTGCTACTTTATGCTTTTTTAAAAGACTTTATTGTTGATGCTATTACAGATGTCCCCATTTCCCCCACCCCCCTTTGCCCACCTCCACCCAGCTTCTACCCCCCTTTCCCTGTGGCCGTCACCTCACTGTTGTCTGTGTCTGTGGGCTATGCATATATGTTCTTTGGCTAATCTCTTCACCTTCTTTCATCTAGCCACCCACTCCCCTCTGAAAGCTGTCAGTGTGTTCCATGTTTCTATGCCTGTGGTTCTATTTTGTTTGTCAGTTTATTCTCTTCATTAGATTTCACTTGTGAGGGAGATCGTACAGAATTTGTCTTTCTCTGACGGGCTTATTTCACTTGGTATAATATACTTTATGCTTTTATGTTAATCCACTCATCTTTTTTGTTGTGCTTGTTTGTTTATATAAGTTTGTCCTGTGCAGGGTAAAAATTGGGTCTAATACACATCTGGCTTCTATGCTGTATTCTCATGTGGTAAGAGATGAATTGAACTGAACCTCCTGGTTTGTGCCTACTGTCTAGTCAGAGTTATTGCTCCAGGGAAAGTCAGAGAGCCTCAGGTGTGCTCCAAAAGGAATCTTGACAAGGAGCAGCTCTAGAAAGCAAAAGAAATCAGGAATCCTGAGTAGGTTTCCTTCACTTTAGAGTCTAGTGCAGCCTGGTATTCATTCATTATTTATATACAGTTTGGTTTACTATTAGCTCTGAAGTTAAAAGTCTATAAATGTAATTCTCCTTGGTAAGGAAATTCTGATTTCTATTATCTAGGAATTAGAAATGGAAGGTACTTGGATAGAAAGATGGGAATGTACTAAGATCTGAATGCTCCCGTCAGAATACATGGATTATCTATCCCAGATACACCCCTTAACTTGACCTTAACTCTTACACCCTAGATTATTGAATGTCTAAAAGAAAACAAGAAGCAGCTAAATACCCGTTGCCACCAGAAAGTTTTCAAGCTTCAGGAGACAGAGATGATGGACCCTGAACTAGATTATACGCTCATGAGAGTCTGCAAGCAGATGATAAAGGTAAGGGGTCCAAAATCAAGCATTAAGCACAGGTGAGTAAAAATAACAGCATAAACCTCTCTAAATGTCAGAGCAAATTCATACAATCTTCCCATTTTTACTTATTTATATAGCTAAGACGTGATTCTCAGAGTCTGGTCCCTAGACCAGCAGCATCAGCATCAGCATTACCTGGTAAACTACAGATTCCTGGGCCCTACCCCAGATCTACTGAATGAGAAACTCTGGGAGTGGAGCTGTCTGGTTTAACAGACTTCCCAGGCGATTGTGATACATGCTCCTGTTTGAGAACCCCTGAGCTAAAATAACTGACCTCACTTAGTCCTTAGCCACAAATAAATAGAGATCCAATGAATATATTATTGGTTTTGGGGGTGATTTGTGGTAGTATATTAAGAAAGCCACCATCAAATGTCCTGATCATGAATCCACCACAATCAAAAGGCTGTCCCATTCTACAGGTTTTTTGCTTCATTTGCTTCTCCATTGAACATTCTCTAGAGCAGGACTCACTTGAGAACTTAGACCTCAGTTCTTGGATCTATCCATGACAGAGAGGTTAAATTTAAGGTTCTGACCCCTTATTTCAGCTTCCCTTTAAAATAAAATGCTAATTTTCACCCTATCAAATAAATTCCAGAAAGTTGTGCAAGTTAGAAGTCTCTTTAGCTGGGCCTGGTAGAATTAAGTCCTCTGTAAAAGTGGAACTATCAGGCTCTGATTTGCAGGAATTTCATAAAATTTTGATGACTTTTATGAAAATCAGTGAGCAGTCCACATCCCCATATTCATATGTCAGTAGACTACAATTTATAGGTAGAGATGGAGTTTTTTACTAGTGCAAGATGGAACTCTGACTGCAAGGATACACCAAGATGGGTCCTTTCCATAAATCCCTGTCCACATTGGTTAGTGGGTAATTCCTAAGTTTTCCATTGGAATCTGGTAGATATTTGGCCACCTGGTACAATGTTATATTCATGCTTAATAATATTTAAGTTCATCCAGCCGGTGTGGCTCAGTGGTTGAGTGTCGACCCATGCACCAAGAGGCCACTGGTTCAATTCTCAGTCAGGGCACATGCCCAGGTTGTAGGCCCGATCCCCAGTTGGGGGCATGCAGAAGGTGGCCAATCGATGTTTTCTCTCATCAGTGTTTCTGTCTGTCTATCCCTCTCCATTCCTCTCTCTAAAATCAATAAAGGAATAGTAAATAAATATTTTAAAAAATAATAATAATATATAAGCTCATGAGATGCAACAGCCACGAAGGTAGGGAATAGGTCCTATAAAAAGTAGGAAGTTCTGAGGTGGGAGAAAGAAATGTGAGAACTACCACAAAGAATAGATAAAGAACAGGGAACTTGAGGCTGAGTGCTTATTCACACTTAGCCATTTCTCTTGTACCAAGTGATACCTTCAGGCTACTTCTGTCATAAGCTTCTCAATAGATGTATGAGTGATACAGGTGATGCAGATGGTGCTAATTGCCACATTTGAATAGCTGTTTTTATAAAACTTTGATTCTTTGCAGAGATTCTGTCCAGAAGCAGATTCCAAAACCATGTTGCAGTGCTTGAAACAAAATAAAAACAGTGAATTGATGGATCCAAAATGCAAACAGATGATAACCAAGCGACAGATCACCCAGAACACAGGTAACATCCTGGCTTGGCTTTCCTGGCCCCATGCTTAAAATGGAATAGAGTGGCCCTGGCCGGTTTGGCTCGGCGGTTAGAGCGCCCGCCTGCGGTCCGGAGAGACCCGGGTTCGGTTCCCGCTAAGGGCATGTACCTTGGTTGCAGTTTGTCCCCGGCCCTGGTTGGTCGTGCGGGTGGCAGCCACTCGATGTGTCCCTTTCACATCAATGTTTCTCTCTCTCTCTCTTCCTCTCTCTCCCTCCCACTCTGTCTGTACAAAAAATGGAAAAATGTCCTCGGGTGAGGATAAAAAAAAAAAAAAAAAAATGGAATAGAGTGGGCATATCCATGCTAAATTAATCTGTAGATGCTTTGTTGCTTGTAAATTTTAAGGGAGAGCCTGGATGTAAGCAAAATGTCTTACTCCTTCTTTGACTAGTTCAGATAGTTCAGAATAACGGAATGAAAGCCATAGGAAAGAAGAGGCTAAAAAAATAGAAAATTGCCTTCGAAGGGCATACAAAAAAAATCAGGGATAGATTTCTTGAAAAGTCTAGAGATTTAATAAAACCAATAAATAAATTATTGGTTTATTTGTGGTCATTGATATAATATGCCCCTTTTTGGAAGGTGGATCTCTAAAAATTTCTGAATCCAGTTGGAATATTTTACCATGTTCTTATCACTTTCTGCTCTAGATTACCGCTTAAACCCCGTGTTAAGGAAAGCCTGTAAAGCTGACATCCCTAAATTCTGTCATGGTATCCTGACTAAGGCCAAGGAGGATTCAGAGCTGGAAGGTCAAGTCATCTCTTGCCTCAAGCTGAGATATGCTGACCAGGTAAATTGGCCTGGGCTCTCCACGGAGATGTATTTATGGAGACACCTCTGTTCCTAGCAGTGGTTTTCTATGGAAGGCCTTACTTCACTTACTTCCTGAAGACCTTTTTCATACCTTCTCCAAGTCAGGGGCCAAATAAAAAGCTGAAGTTATCCAATAGGCTGACATAGTCTCCCTTTGTCACATGTAGCGCCTTTCTTCAGACTGCGAAGACCAGATCCGGATTATTATTCAGGAGTCTGCTCTAGATTACCGACTTGATCCTCAGCTCCAGCTACACTGCTCAGATGAGGTAGGATTTGGGTATGAAACTGATTGTGAAGAGAGCTGGTCAGAGAAGTTTGTATTGGATGAAAGTTCTTTACTCCTTTTCCCTAAGCCTGACTCCAGGGTTAGTTCAATTCCCACCTTTTAGGCTCTCCATTGTCTGAGATCCTGGTTCTCTGTAACAGTGAATTAGACTTGGCATTAGTCCTTGTCACCATACAGTGCTGATTCCGTATTTTTCTATTAAACAAGAGCATTCTGTTATTATAGCCATCTGCATATAGTTTGTTCTTCCCTTCTCCTAATTTAGTCAACCCTTAACACCCCAAGACTTGTCAGAAAGATAGGAGTGCTCCCATCATAGCTCTAAAGAAGTGCCTGTCCTTGGAAATTATTTGACTTCCTGGCTCGAAAAGGCCATGTGAAGAACTTGTTTAAATGTATGTGAACTTTAGGGGATCATAGCTAAAAATACATCAAAAAAGCCTACTCAGAGCTCTCCACAAAAGATAAAGTTTTTAATCTGTGCTGCAGGCTGTGTTTCGGGACACGTGTGTGTGTTTCCAAGTTGTGAGTCTGGGTTGACCCTGGACCTCTGAAAATGTCAAGCATTTGCTTTTAGTATTTTATTTGACTCTATAATCTTCTTCTGTGGAATCAGGAAGTAGCCCTAGATTTAGTCATTGACCAGTGCTGGGACAATCTGTCTCACATCTCAGGGTTGACGTCATAAAGATATGTGCATGGACTTCCTGTGCCAGTCCTTGTGAAGTAGAACAGAACTTAGTACGTATCTCGTTCTGGAAGGAGGGGAGTGAAATCTACCAGGAAGCTTTTTGAGGAGAGCCCTGGGCATGTGTGGGAGGGTCACCAAATCTACACATTTCAGAGATCAAGGTTTCTGGTGAGAATAGGGTGGCCTTGTTTTCTGTGTGTCTCCTGAGCAGATCTCTAGTCTGTGTGCAGAGGAAGCAGCAGCCCAGGAGCAGACAGGTCAGGTGGAGGAGTGCCTCAAAGTCAACCTGCTCAAAATCAAGACAGAAATGTGTAAAAAGGTAACCACCACCAGTCGCCATCCCCACCCCACCCCCCGCCGTGTTTTCTCTCCTCTCATGTTCCTTTTAATGCTATAGTCAGTACTTTTTAGTAATAAAATCTACATTTTTTTTTTTTTAATCCTTACTCGAGGACATTTTTCCATTTTTTGTTCAGATAGAGTGGGAGGGAGAGAGGGAGAGGGGGAGAGAGAGAGAGAGAGAGAGAGAGAGAGAGAGAGAGAGAGAAACATCAACATGAAAGGGACACATCAAGTGGCTGCCACCCACACGACCCAACCAGGGCCAGGGACAAACTGCAACTGAGGTACGTGCCCTTAGCGGGAACCAAACCCGGGTCTCTCTGGACTGCAGGCTGGCGCTCTAACCGCTGAGCCAAACTGGCCAAGGCTAAACTTTTCTTTACTGATTTTTAGAGAGAGAGGATGGGAGAGGTAGAGAAAGATAGAAACACTGATGAAAGAGAACATTAATTAGCCTCCTCCCGCATGCCCCCACTGGGGAATTGGGCCCACAACCTGGGCATGTGCCCTGACTGGGAATCAAACTGGCGACCTCTTAGTGCATGGGTCAGTGCTCAACCACTGAGCCACACCAGCCGGGCGAAATCTAAACTTTTTTTTCCCCAGAATGCTATGCTGTTCCCTCTTACCAAACTTTAATTTTGTTCTTCACCATTAATGGCCTATAGCTTAATTATTCCTTCACATGTAGTAATTATTTGTGAATATGTCTCCTTTCCATGACTAGACTGTTGTTTAAAGGGCACTCTCTGAGTGCAGTACAGAAGCAAAATGTCAGTTCCAATATATCAGTTAAGTGTATTGCATTCATAAAAATCAATGAAACTAAGAATTTAATTCATTTGAGAAACATCACCTAAAAACAAATTTATCAAAATATGACTACTAAGCAAACATTACTTTGCAAATTTGAAAATGAAATAATATATTTGATCTTTTTTTAAAAGCATTATCTTTTTTTGAAAAGTGTTTCAGTGATGTCATTGTTGAGTCAGTGTGAATATTGTGTGTAAATATTTTCATGTGCCAGAACTCTCTAATTTCTAATGGTCTGAGTTCAATAAAAGCTAAATCTAGATATTTTCCTTTGTCATCAGATGGTCCCATCTAACTTTGAAGAGGACTTTTTGAACAATATTTGAGTTTTGTTTCTATTATTGTTGTTTTATAGGACTACAGTTTTTCTCGTTTTTATTTAAGAAATCATTTCCAGGCTTTACCTCCTATAATTTCACCGTGTATAATAAGAGGGTCTGCAGAGTTATTTCAGTTCTATTACGTTTGTATGTCTCTTGTTCAAAACTTCTTTAAATGCAAATAATAACTCTCTTTGCAGTAACATTTTTCAAACATTTACTTTTGAGTGGGAATTTTTGTATAGCATATTACTCTGATTTTCAGATTTCACATTTTCTTCTTAAAGTAACAACATAACTATATTACAGCAGTGTGAATACTAACATAGTGTTTAATAACATGGCGTATCAGAATGTCAGAAACCCAAATCTGATCTTACAAGTTCCTGCTTTGCTTAGCAAACAGCTTTGCATTCACTAGGTCCCCAAGTGTATTTGCTGAATTAAATTGGATGATAAAAATCTCCATTCTTTGAATTAATTATCACCACATTGCTGCCTGTCTCGAAGTAGGCTTTTTTGTTAACCCTCAACCTTCCCTCCTTGACTCTTGTTTGTACCTAAAGTATTTGCAGACAACAAATCTGATGCATTTTCTCTTTAAAAGCTCTCTCTGAAACATTCTTTCCTTTCTAGGAAGTGTTAAACATGCTGAAAGAAAGCAAAGCAGATATCTTTGTGGATCCAGTTCTTCATACAGCTTGCGCCCTGGACATTAAACACCACTGTGCAGCCATTACCCCTGGCCGAGGGCGTCGTAAGTCACTGTGTTCACTCTGACCCTGTCTGAACTGTCTTGGGAGGAACAAAGACTTCCCCCAAAACATCTGCTGCAGCTTAACCACACACAACATCCTCTGGGAACCTGGTTGATGCTGGGACTAGGCCTTTGTAGCAAAACAAACTTTGGAATAATCCTGCAATTTGAACTGACCTAGCCGTAAAAGTTGAGTTATAAGGGAAGAATATGTTAAGTCATCATCATGGGCCTCTTTCTCACCCTGTCTAATCTAGAATAGCTTCGTTAGCTTCCCCAGTGGCCACATTTGTCTCAATACATAGGTTCTGCGTGAGGTAGAACCTGGACAGGTGTAAAATTGTTTCTGTGTCATGTGTGCCCAGTAAAAATAAGAGATATTTTTGGAAGGACTCCGGACAATCCACCTTGGAATGAAATATTATTCTCCATGTTAGATCTTAGGTCAAGTTTCCTAGAATGGATGTAACTTTGTTCATCCAACAGATCTGAAGTCTCTGGTGATTAGGTAGCCTTCTCCCTGAACCTTACTGAAATTTCTCTGCTCCATATGATTTCAGACTCTTCTTCTCCCTTTCATTCCACAGAAATGTCCTGCCTCATGGAGGCCCTGGAGGATAAACGGGTGAGGTTACAACCTGAATGCAAAAAACGCCTCAATGATCGGATTGAAATGTGGAGTTATGCAGCAAAGGTAATGACCAAGAGAGTCTCCTGAAGTGGCCATCTGTCCTATCAGATTCCCAGTCTCTTCAAGATACATCACTGGTTTTCTTGTCCTTGTTGTGAGGCTGGCAGTAAGTATATTTGAAAAATCTGTCTGTCTGCCTTTAAGCCTTCTTGGCTGTCTGAGAGCCTGGAACCATCACCTTGCTTCGCGTTGGGCTGTGTCTGCAAGGCTTTGCCAGGGCCATTACTTTCTGCCCTCAGGTGCCTATAGTTTACCACTAAAAAGTGAGTCACCCAAAGGAAGGATGTGACTTAAGCCAACTATGCAAAGAGAAACTAGACATGCCCATGGGGAAAAGAAAACTATCCAGCCACTCTTGCTGTATAACTTGTTTTGCTAATTTTGCACAGTCTATGGGAGAAGAATGTGTATGTGAGACTGGAACATGGAAAATAGTAGGATAAAGAGAGACATCAGGACACTAGTGAAAATGTATGGTACCCAGGCAGACTTGGGCCGGGGGAGATTTTTCCTACAAAAATTCAGCCTCAGTGAGAAGAATAACAGTTCTTCTCGTGTATACATTGCTTTGTAGTTTACAAATCACTTTGATGGATATATTACCTCATTTAAATCTTGAGACCCTATGAGGTAAGTGGAAAGATTATTTTCTCACTTTATAGTGGAGGAAACTGTGACTTCAGAAGTTCTAACTTGCCCAAGGTGAAAAAGTCAGGTTTCTAAGTCTGCGCTCTTTATGTCTCCTTGTGCTGGGACAGACATTCCTGAGGTCAGGAGAGAGAACACAAGGACTCCTCCTTGGCTGGTTCCTCCCATCACTCCTGTGCTTAAAGGTCAAGGGTAACAGGCAAGTGGGAAAGACCAGAGAAAGTCTTCATACCTAGACATAAGGGACCGTAGCTGTCAAAATAACAAGCACCTTCATCCCTTCTCCCAAGGGAACAAAGTCAGCTTTGAAGTCCTTGGTTAGTTGAGGCAGCAGAGATGAAATTAGTCTCCTCTTTCCTCACCGGTTTCCACTTTTGAGCTGCTAAGAATTGCTTCAGTGTAACACCACTGCTTGTTTTGTGTTGACAAATGTTGATGCTCAAATCACATTAATCTGAAGCCGCCTGCTCTATTTTGTGTACATGGGATGATCATAGGAGCAGCCCAGACATCTCTGGGCCAGCCCTTTTCAGGCCCCTATGCTAAGGTGAGACTCAAAAGAACAGATTTGTGGGTACCTGGGGAAACTGCTCCGATTTTGCCATAGCAGGCTACTAGTGGGGTGCATTTAAGAAAGCAGTGAGGAAAACTGGTTACATTGTAAATATCTACAATGGGCAGGGGTTGAGGGTGAAGTATATTTAGTCCCTATACCCCATTTGCATATTATTTTTGATGTGGGGGAATGAGTGATATAATCAGGAGTGAAATCAAGTCAAGATATAGAATTAGCATACCAAAAAAATTTCAGTTTTTTTTTTAAAAAAGCAGCAAAAATGATGAATAAAATAAATCGGAATACATAGGAACCTGTGACCTTTTGCAGGTCACTAAGCCACCTCTGGGTCTTCATCTGTGATACGGGAGTAATAAAATCTACTTGTGAGGATTGGTGTGAGGACGAAACGATTGCAAATGGGTTGAGCCTTTGCCAGGGCCCAGCACATCGCCCAGTCCTCAGCGTGAGGACTGTTATTTTGTTGGTGGTAATGATTGCTGGGATGAGACTCCCCATCTTTGCATTTGTATTTCCTACTCTTCTTTTTTCTCCTAACCATCCCTTTTTTTCTTCTTATAAAAATGTTTTAATTGAACTTATTGGAGTGACATTGGTCCACAAAACCATACAGGTTTAAAATATACAACTCAACAAAACATCGTCTGCACCCTGCTCGCTCACCTATCGCCCAAAGTAAGGTCTTTCCGTTCCCAATTTATTCCCCCTTTGCCCGCTTCCACCTCCCCCGACTCCCCTTTTTCTCTGGCTATCAACATATTGTTGTCTGTGTCTATGTGTTTTCTATGTGTTTCTATTTCCTATTTTGTTTGTTAAATTATTTTGTTCATTAGATTCCACATAACAGTGAGAACATATGGTACTTGTCTTTCTCTGACTGGCTTATTTCACTTAGCATAATGCTGTCCAGGTCCATATAATCTTTCACGGTAGATACGTACAATATTATGATCAGAAAAAAATAATTGTAGCTCTTGTCCTTTGCCCTTGCTCCTCAAAAGAAATGATGTAAATTAAACTAGGAATCGAAGTAGGGTAAGTTAGAGCTAGCACCTCCCCCAGCCCAGTTCTCTCTCAGAGGGTGATGCTGTTGTATGTCATTTCAGGTGGCCCCAGCAGATGGCTTCTCTGACCTCGCCATGCAAGTGATGACATCCCCATCAAAGAACTACATTCTCTCTGTGATCAGTGGGAGCATCTGTATATTGTTCCTGATTGGCCTGATGTGTGGACGTATCACCAAACGAGTGACACGAGAGCTCAAGGACAGGTAGAGCCACCTTTACCACCAAAGGAACTACCTGTCCAGTACCCAGTTTGTACAGCCCTCCTGTATAGTATACCCACTCACCTCGTTCTTCTCAGAGGTGCCACCAACACCCATGTTAGAGCAGCAGCAGGTATCCACTGCATTGCCCCATCTCAGACTCCGCCCGTGTCATGGTGTCCCTCTCCTCCTGACCGTTTGTACAGCAGCAGCAGCAGCTGGCCGCTTTGGTTGTCACCTTTGTTGGCAGACTTAGGTTTACCTGCCTGTAGACGAGTCTCTCTCATACCAGTGGAACTACCAGTACTTCCAGAAGCAACTCACCTGACCTGCAACTCAAATGATTTCTTTTTTATAAAAAAAAAAAACACCAAAAAAAAAAAAAAAAGGAAAGAAATTTTTAAAGAAAGAAAAAAATGTATATAGTAACACATCTCCAACTTTGATTTGGGCAATGGGGTTATTACTTCTGTATGACTGTGTAAAATGAAGACAGGATATTAGAGGGGAAACACACCACCCAATATGCTATAACTGGGATGTCTTGCTCCTTTCTCAAAAGCACCTTTGGGCCATGTCAGGGCCATGGACTTCACCAAGTGGTGGGAAACCACTAACCAGCCAACTTTGGATCCTGTTTTCTTCTGCTGAAGCAGTGATGCCTTCCAGTTTCCACCCTAACAGCCACTGGTGGTCAAGACCCTCAAGGCCATATGTGTTTCTATGATCCCCTTACCTCAGTGAAGTAAAGCATGAGCCTCCCTAGGCCAAAGGCAAATGGATTGGGGAGAGGATCAAAAATCTGTGATGCTGATCTACACTGAGAGGCTGGACCCTGAGTCCCCAGGCAGCAGAATCCCAGTGATCTCCTCCAGGCTAGTGCAGGACTCTTTTACATTGGTATTGCTGGCGTAGCAGTTGCTCCAGAAGTCCTGCCAGGAAGCAGTGATTGTGGGGAAGGGGGCTCAACCGGAAGGAGGAGCAAGGGATTGGTTCACTTTGCTTTATTTTCCAGACAACAATTCAGGTCAGAGACAATGGCTTATAAAGATTTAGCATGGTCTCAGGGTGTGACTGGCAGTCCAACCTGAGCTTTTTGCAGGCTCAAGGCCACCTTCCCAGACAAGATCTTTCTGCCTCTACATGGAGAGGGTGTGGAGCATTATTACAGTAAAAGATGGAGGCTTTCTCCGGTTCTTTTTTTGATTTGTTTATTTGCTCTGTACACCCACTATAGTAGGCATTGGCTAAATGTTGTACTTTTCAGAATCTGAGTTTAATGGAAGCATATTCCTGGCCATCCTCCCTCACCCTACCAGTGTAGAGGTGACAGGTATGGAGTGTCCAGGGGGAGGAGTGCAGGCGTCACGGCTCTACCTGGCACAGCTTGGCTGGAGTTTGGAGCATGGAGTCACAGTGGCTGCATAAGAGGGCGACATGTACAGTAGGAGATATATTTATATAATATATATTTTATTAACCTGTTAGACGTCCACAAAGTATTATAAATCATGTGCCTAAAACTGTCTACATAGACCATGGCGCCCGTCCTCCCCTGCCCCTCCTTTGCCTCTGTCCATGTGTGCCGCGGACCTACACAACATTTGTCTTCCCTGAAATGTGTTCAGTACACAGTGGGTCAGTTTGTGGATCAGTTGATCCAAATACTCCTTGTCTAACCTGACTGACATATATTTGATACTGTGGTTTTCTTCTTTTTTTTTTTTTTTCATTCCTCCTTGCTACCCCTCCTAGAGGCAGTGGGTTCCGAAAGCCAGTTGTCTATTCCCCCTGCCTAGGGTAATACAAGTCACCAAGGGGAGCCACTAAGCTGCTTGTTTCCCTCAGCTCTTAGGGTCTTCCAGATTCTCAGCAACTGTTGTAAGATTCTTCAGTCTCATAAAACTTGAAACTCTTGGAGCCTGAGCACCCCCTACCACCACCACTGCTGGACTGGATTGAGCTGGCCCAGACAGCTCACTCCCAAGGGTTCCCATGTGATGGTGGGGGCTGCTGAGGCTTGGGATCCAGAAGTGGGGATGTCTTCTAAATGCAGGCCCCCATTGATGTGTCTGGTGTGGTTTACAGGATAGGAGTAATGTCCACTATTTGGAGGGGCTGGTACCATTCCCTTCTCTGCAGTCTCCCTCCCAATACATGTAAAACATCTTCATAATTTAATGTGTCTCAATATTTCTGTTCTTTCTGAGCTGAGTTGATCTCATTCATTGTCTGCAGCAGATCTGGAAGTTTGAGGAGTTGGATTCTTGGAACTTTTGTCACCTTTAGAAATGGTCAGAATAGAAGGGATAACTCTGCCTGTATCTTCAACTGCTTGTTGTAAGAAAGCATTTCCCCATGCTACTTGGAATAGTTTTATATGACTGGTTCGTGAGACTCCAAGCAGTACCCTGAGCAGCTGTCTGTGCCCAGCACCATCTGAACCTGTGGCCCACTATATCTGCTCTGTACTGCATTTGGTATAACAAGACAGATTCTGGGGCACCTGTGGTTATCAGCCTCATGGTTCAGTCATGAGTCAATTAACTAGTCAAGAAGAAGAAACCATGGCCCAGTGGAGGAGCTGATGACTGACCATGGCATTTACCTCTTCTGATGTCTAGCCCATAAACAGTAACATAAGCAGCAGGTGGGGCTTTTTTTTTTTTTTTTTTTTTTTGCCAAGGCCAAGGCACCTGGTAGTTGCTGAAAAAGTAAATCCACTGGCCTTATTCGCTCCCTCCAGTGTCTCAGGAACTCATACTTAGTGTGCTCCACCACATTCCAGAGACACCAGGAGGTCATTCTGTGCTGGAGGCACTGTGTACAGGAAATCAGAAATCTGGGCAAAATGTTGAGAACAAGACTAACTGCTCCCTGTACTGGAGCATCTCCCACAGAGGGTGGCTCTGGGAGTGAGACTTTACCCTGGTGTGTCCCTGGCCCTCCTCTGCCATTGCTGCTGTCCCAAGATGCACCAAGATGGGAGCCCTAGCAAAGGCTTGGGTGCTCTGCATTGCCTGGAGGCCCTCTGCCGACACTCCCAGTCCCAGTTCTGTGGGTCCAGTCAGCTTATTCTGAGCCAGTGCATCCTTAGAAGCTAGGGGAATTCTAGTATCTAGTGAACAGGTGTTGACTTGAATTCACATTGCAGGCCTTCGGCGATCTCACATCCTGCACTTACTCCTCTGGGGGACAGAGAGCAGTTCTGCTGTTGGGGAGAGAAAGAGATTCTGCTTTCCTAGAAGATGCGACAGAAAATTACTATTAGATTTCATCTCTTCCCATTTCCTGAGGTTACATCATAGAAGAATCCAATGGTCAAGAGGTCTGTAGCGTCCATTTACATTTTATCAGACAACATGGAAAGGAAGTTATGTGCTGACTTCCTCTACCTTCCCAAGAGAAGAGTCACTCATGTATGTGTGACTTCTGGAAATGTCTCCCATCCTCCCCACCCCCAGGCAGTGGTACTACTTATACCCCAAAGATTCCCACTATAGTGATTTACCAGGGATGGGTAGATTGCTTCATAGGGCCTCCTTTCGTAGCTGACCTCGAAGTTTCTCTGAGAAAAGACCTTCACTTTTCATTTCTTCCCCTCCCTCACCAACAAAATAAACGTTCTTCACATATAACTTATACTGTGTAAGCAGATGTGGAGAAGGAAGCTAGAATAGGGACCCTTAGAAGCAGCCAGCCCAGCTTGACACATTCAACCTAAATTTTGACCATAGAACAAAAAGAATATAGGTTTTGAATGATGTGCATTTTGGTATGTTTCTTTACATTTCAAATTCCTGTAAATTGGAAAAACTTCAAAAATCAAATTTGAAAAATCTCAAAGATTCAAAGATTCCTTTTATCTCTCACCATTTGGACAGCATCAAAGTAGTTTTATAAAATGTAGCACTCCAGTGCCCTGAGCTTCTGGGCTTTTAGGGACACCCCTCACCTCCACACCGGTCTTGGATTCCCAAAGGCCTGGGCCAGAGCAGATGTTCTGGCCTGCCTCCCTCATTTGTCTTTGGTTGGCCACCTCTCTAACTACCCTGCTCCTGGTTCTTCTCATCTCCACCAGGCAGTCAAGAATCACACATTAGGGCAATCAAGTTTGAAGCTAAATCTCCCTTCCTGCCCAGACCTTAGGTAGCAGATCAGTCGTTAGCAAACTCAAACTGACTCTTCAGAGTCACAGGTCCCCAGGCCGTCTAGTGAGATCACTGTGGAGATCCAGGGACTGTTTGCATCTGGAGCACAAAGGTGGGGTGATCTTCTTGGGCTGTAGTGACAGCATCCTGACGGCAGTTTGCTCGCCTTCCTAGCAAGACCCACTGCCACACAGAGGTAGGGAATGTTGGGATACATGCAGTGTAGAAATCTCCCTGGGCAAGGAGAAAATTCAGATAGTGCCTCTATATTCTGTTTTTGCCTTCCCCCAGCATAAAATTGACACCTGGACCCAGAGCCCAGCAGGCCCTATGCCAGACACACTGGGGTAGTTTGAACAGGTTTCCCGGTCAGACTGCAGTGCACTGAATGGAGCGGCTTCTCCCGGCATAGAGTTCCCAGGTTAGTCCAAGCAGGAAAACAGACTGCAGCAAGTGCTGTGTGAGATCTTAGGCCTTTAACTTTTTTTTTAAGAAAGAAAGAAAAGTATAATTTACAAGCCTCTTTTGTAAATGGTTTTCCTTTCTATGTATAAAATCCCTGCAGTTCCTTGTTTTTACATGTTCATGCTGTGTAATTTTGAGATGTTACTGAGATTCTGAACATAATGTGCATTTTTTTTCTGTACAGATGAAATGGGAGAATTTAATAAAGAGTTTGCAGGTTTTTACTTGTTAAATCTTCTCTGTGATGACTGGGAGGATTCTCCAACCCCTGCTCTGCTAGTAGAAGTCTGGAGCTGTGATACTGTTAGTTTTTTAGCATTCTTGGTTAATTAAGTCAAGCAGAGCAGAACCATACGACTTTTAGAAGAGAGATGGAAATCAGATCTGGGTTTTTCTGACTCAGGCTGATGTGTCCAAAATTATTCATTCTACTGATGTGTTTAAACCATGTCATAAGGCTCCTTCCTGGGAGGAGCACCTACCTGGAACCTCTCCTTATAGATATGACAGACACATGGATGGTGCCTGGTCTAGTGGCCACCTTCTAGCTGAGGTCCAGAGCTAGGCTGCATTTATTTTCTGTGCCTTGGAGTTAGTGACTGCCATGACACCCTTGCTGAGCCCTTTCTTCTACCTCCTCCATTCAGCAAAGCTAATTTGCATCTGGGTGTTTAAAAAGTAATAGCTTAATGAATTTTGCATGGTAGCAAAGATTTTTTTTCTTTTTTTTTTTTTTTTTAGACTTTTAAAATTATTATTATTTTTTAAATTCATCACCCAAGGATATTTTTCTATTTATCATTAGATAGAGTGGGAGAGAGAGAGAGACGGAGAGAAACATTGAATTGACAGAGCCCCATCGACTGGTGGCCTCCTGCACAACCAGAGCTTGGGACAAACTGCAACCAAGATACATGCCCTTGACCAGAATCAAACCTGAGACTCATTGGTCCACAGGTCCATGCTCTAACCGCTAAGCCAAACCAGCCAGGGCTTTTTTTTCTTTTTTTTTATTGAGAGAGGTTTAGAGAGAGAAGAAGGGAGAGAGAGATAGAAACATCAGTTGCCTGCCTCCTGCATGCCTATTACTGGGAATCAGGCTCACAACCTGGGCATGTGCCCTGATTGGGAATCAAACTGGTGACCTCTTGGTGCATAGGTCAATGCTCGACCACTGAGCCACACTGGCCGGGCAGCAAAAATTTTTTAAAGTCATATACTCTGGTTTCTCTTCAGATCGCATAAATCTTTCACCTTTTACTAAAGATTTCCGTGGAGAGGAACAATTCTGAGTTTTGAAAATAAAATAAAGTCATAATGTCCATAGTAGGATTTGAGTAATGGGATGTTCAGTGAGAAAGGAATGGTAACCTGGAACCCAGAGTTTCTTCTTAGAACTTTGAATCCATTTCAGCAGCTGTCACTTCGGTGGAGGTCAAGAGAAGGTGAAGAGTAGAAGAAAGGGTGAAGAGGGTTTGAGGACCTTCTGAGCCCCAACTGCAGATAGTCCTCTATGTAGGGAGCTCTGGGTAGCCTTCAGCGCCGAATGGGAGCCATCTAGTACCAGGTGCTCTTGAGTGTCCTAGAGAAGCTGCCTGCTTTGTTGTAAGTGTGGGAAATGAGGTGCAGGGTTCAAGCTCTGTCCCGGTACCCCACAGAGAAGTGGTGCACCTAACCCAGCTGCACTCGGCCCCTCAGGGGGTTGCTCGTGGTGATAGGGAGCATGCTGCCCAGCTGAAGCCTCAGCAGTCTCAGAATCATTCGTCCCACCCCAAGTTTTGTGTTTTTTATTTTTCTGGTAAAAGATGCCTGAGCTTCTACTCTGCCAGCGGTTCACTCTTCTGAGCCTTCCTTTCCTTCCCCCATCACTGCCAACCAAAGCTTCTTCCACAGGGGCTCCACCATCTACACCTTTCTTCCCAAACCCACTGCCGCCCACTTCATTGCTGTCCTACATCCTCAGACTCCCCTGAAGATCGAGCAGATGGGCATCTTCCCCAAGGATATACTGGCCTGAAAACCACATGGCAGGCACAGTAGTAAGTGTCCTCATCAGCAGGGCAGGCATTGCCCATGGTAAGGTGTGTGGTATTCTGGGCTGGGTCTGTGTCTGCCAGGAAGTGGTATTCACACCCAAACCATAAGTCAAGGGAACCCCTTCTCGCTGACTCAGCAGGAAGCTGACTCACCAGCTGCTAGTACCAAAACAAGGTATGGGCCCTGGCAGGGCAGCCCTGCACCACACACTAGATCTGTGGATTAATTTGTCCACTCATCACAAAAGGCTGAGGCTAGAAGCACCTGAGGCAGAGAGGTAGTAGCCACTGGAAATTACTCTGAGGTAATTGATGAGGCATTTACTCTCAGCTCAGACTAGTGAGGTTTTTCTAGAGAGCCATTTGGCAATACCAATGAGAAGTGTAATTCATCATACCCTCTGATCTAGCAATTCTATTTTCATAAATTTATCCTATAAAAATAATTGAACTCATGTATATTGGCATGCCTACAAGGATATAACTATAATAATCTTTATAGTAATGAGAAACTGAATAACTATTAATAGAGCAGAGGTTAAATTTTTAAGTGAGATCCACATCATACAATACTATGCAGCTCCAAAATAAGAAAATGTAGAACTCCTCCTTCTGGATAGGATGGAGTATTTTTCAGCTGAATAATGCTCCCAGTGAGAGCATCTAGAAAAGGTAGTGAAACAGGTGGGTTTTGTGGTTTAAGAGAGTTGCAGAAGTAACAGTAACAAGGGAAGTTAAGACTGTGGAGAGGAGAAAACCATGGAGAGGCAAGTTGACCAAGTGCAACCACTTGCATTTGCCAGTTCTGGCAAGAGCCTGAGGTTTTCCTCAGGCAGAGGCTTTGGGCAGGACAAGAGAAATTAGCAGAGTTTCTAATAGTCTTGCAGCCTGGAGTGACAAAATCGAAGGCTTCGGGGCCTTAAAAATAGGTTCGGGTTTCACACCATTTCATGAAGTCTGAAATTTTACAAGATGGGAGCCAAAAAAGCTAAGGCCAAACTTCTGTAAAACTGGCCAGAATTTTGCAGAATCAGTGCCAGGAAGATAAAGATCAGAGTTCAAGACCTCTCAAAAGGAGACACCCCAGTGACTACACCAGGATTTCAGTTGAAAGCCTTAAAGGGCTAAGCCCTAGGAACCATTTGACAACCACCATAAGTAATAATTGCTCAGGTGAGAAGCATCCAATAGGTGATACAACTTATGGGTGAACATTTGGGGTTTTATTTTGGTGTGTGTGTGTGTGTGTATGTGTTCTGAGAACAGGATACTCATATATTCTCAAAGCACCTCTCTCCAAATTACTACAGATAGAAAAAAAAGTAATTTACCATAGAGAAATCTGGCTGACACAGCATAACCATATGGAATGGGACAAATAGATAGTATGTGCCTCTTGCTAGAATGCATTGAGGACACAGCATCCCTTTTGTGGTGATCCTGTCAAAAATGCATATCCTGAATCTATCTAATCATGAGAAAACATCAGAAAAACCCAAACTGAAGGACATTACAAAATAACTGGCCTATACTCCATCTTGAAAGTAAAGACTATGGAACTGTTCCAGAATAAAGGAAACTTAAAGAGACTTAACTAAATGTAGTGTGTGATAATGGATTGGTTCCTAGACCAGAAATTTTTTTAAATGTTGCTCTAAAGAATATTAGTGGGAGAATTGGTGAAATTTGAATAAGACGTAAATTAAATAATATTTTATTGTTCATTTCCCGATTTTGACCATTGTGCTGTGTTAAACTAAGACTGATGGTTGAGCCCTGGCCAGTTTGTCTCAGTAGTTAGAGCGTCGATCCGCGGACCGGAGAGGGTCGGGTTCAGTTCCCGCTAATGACATGTACCTCAGTTGCAGTTTGTCCCTGGCCCCCATTGGGGTCGTGTGGGTGGCAACCACTCGATGTCTCTCTCTCTTCCTTCCTCTCTCCCTCCTGCTCTATCTCAAGATAAATGCAAAAATGACCTTTGGTGAGGATTTAAAAAAAAAAAAAAAAAAAAAGACTGATGGTTGATTTCTCATCAGAAATTATAGAAGCCAGAGGCAATGAAAAGACATATTTAAAGTTCTGTTGTGAAGAAACTGCCGATGTAGAATTTTTTACCTAGTGAAAATAGCCTTTAAAATAAAGATGTTCTCAGATAAGAAGAGCTGAGAGAATTTGTCACCATCAGACTTACACAAAAGGGATCCTAAAGGGAAAATCCAGGGTTACAAAATGGCGGCAGAGTGAATGGAAGCTACACAGACCGTCTCCCAGAACCAAACTGGAATTACAACCATAACACAGACAAATCGACGGGAAAAACCAACAGAAAAGCAGCTTGCGAGGACCATATAACCAGGGACACTGACTCAATCCTGGTAGGATTGCGAAGGCGCGAGATGGGGGCTAGGAGCGGCCTTCGCTGGGATCAGCGCCCTCGGGTTAAACCCCCAAGCGGCTCCACAGCGCAGAGCCGGGACAGAGGCTAAAAAAGCCACAGCCACTCACCTTGGGCTCCGGCAGAGGGAGGGCAGACTGGACTGGAACTGTGTGGGGACACTCGGGGTTTGGAGGGCACTCAGAGCTTTTGCTGAGTTGCTGCCACGCAGGACGGTGGCCTTATTGCTCCATCCCAGGGCTCTGGGGAAAGGCAGCAGCCCCTCCCTCGGAGATCCAACCCCACCCTATGGCCCATTGAAGTGTTAATTGAAGCTCATTAACAACCAGCATCTGCTGCACCCTCGTGAAATCGCCTTATGCTGAGCACCTGAGGGAGTTTTTCAATCAACTGACAACCCAAAACCCATCAAGTAACCTCAACTGCTAGCCTCCAGGCAAAAAGCTAGAGGATAACAGTACCTTTCCTGGGCTAGCAACTTTAACCAGGAAAGTAAGACCTGACAGTGGTGTTTAACGTGGGTCCTCCCTCACTCATCTAAACCCAGGAGAGGGAGCCACAAACAGCAGAACACCAATACCCACAGGGAGAACTTGACGGGCTCCAAAGGCCACTGTGATAGCCAAAGTGGTGAAACAGAAACAGAAGCCAAATGAAAGAGCAAGAGACCTCCACCAAAGATAAGATCAATGTGGAGCACTTAGGCATGTTAACAGAGCTAGAATTCAGAGCCATGATCTTGAGAAAGCTTAACAGCATGAGTAAGGACATACAGACGCTGAAAATAAGCCAATTGGAAATTAAAAACCACCAAGAAGAGATAAAAAATGACATATCAGAAATGAAAAACACATTGGAAGGTTTAAAAAGCAGAGTAGAGGAAGCTGAGGACCGGATCAGTGAATTAGAAGACAGGGTAGAAAAAAATCAAACAATCAGAAAACCGAAAGGAAAAAACGATTAAAAAAACAGGAAGACAGCTTAAGAGAACTGTGGGACAACTGGAAACAATAAATGTAATACATCACATAAACAAAATGAAGAATAAAAACCACATGATCATATCAATAGACGCTGAAAAAACATTTGACAAAATCCAGCATCCATTTCTGATAAAAACGCTCAGCAACGTGGGAATAGAGGTATCATATCCCGGCATAATAAAGGCCATATATGAAAGACCTACAGCCAACATCATACGCAATGGGCAGAAACTAAAAACATTTCCATTAAGAACAGGAACAAGACAGGGATGTCCACTTTCGCCACTCTTATTTAACATAGTACTGGAAATCTTAGCCACAGCAATCAGACATGTGGAAAAAATAAAAGGGATCCAAATTAGAAAGGAGGAAGTGAAACTGTCATTATTTGCAGATGACATGATATTATACATAGAACACCCTAAAGACTCCATCAAAAATCTACTAGACTTAATAAATGAATTTGGCAAAGTAGCAGTATACAAAATTAGCGTCAAGAAATCGACGACATTTGTATACACCAATGATGAACTCACAGAAAGAGAAACTGAAAAAAATCTCATTTACCATTGCAGCAAAAAAATTAAGTATACCTAGGAATAAACTTAACCAAAGAAGTAAAGGACCTATTTGCAGAAAACTACAGGACATTGAAAAAAGAAATAGAGGAAGATATAAAAAAGTGGAAGCACATACCTTGTTCATGGATTGGAAGAATTAACATCACTAAAATGTCCATACTACCCAAAGCAATCTATAGATTCAATGCAATCCCCATCAAAATACCAACGACATATTTCACAGAACTAGAACAAATACTTCAAAAGTTCATATGGAACCAAAAAAGTCCCCAAATAGCCACAGCAATTTTGAAAAAGAAGAACAAAGTAGGTGGGATCACAATACCAGATATCAGGTTATA